GATAATAAATAATTAATGCAATAAAACCGATACACTTACTTTGGGTGCTCAGAATTTATATAAATTCAAAACCCATATTAATCTATTTAGCATACAATAATATATTGATTATTTTATTATTCTTTTATGTTAGAAATTCAAATGAGTTGTAATTTATCGAAAATAGTATACTAATTAATTCATATATGTTTTAATATATACGAAAAATAGAAATACTAATAAAGTAGTCCAATGCTATGTAAAAATGCATTTTTATGAATAGTTTTTGACGACGACAAACATAGTGGGAATGTTTTACCTGTATACACACATTATCTTATTTTACAATCTTCTATAGTAAATTTCTTGCAATCAGTATTCTTTAATAATTATTAAGTACATAAATTGCCTAATATGATGTTATGCATTGAATCTGCGGTATCTTTAATATATATAAAAAAAAATAAACTAATGATAATTTACAATATTGTTATCGATAGTAAATATTTAAATAAGTTGGAAAAAATAAAGTTTTATAATAACTGTGTTAATGTAAACTTACGTGTAATAAATGAATAATAAAACCATTTTAGTCGTTATTGAAATGAAATTTTAATCTCTGTACATAATATTTGTTGAGCAATAGTATTATTAAATCTTATTAGTTACTAATTAATTGGTGAATTTGTGTATTACAGACACATTTTATAGATATTCCCGAAAAATCCATGTGTAATAGATGTAGTATTTTGATCTGAACGACGAAGATTTGGTACAGTTTCGTTTTATGTCTGAATATGATGTCATCAGAGATATGTGGTCAAGCGACGACCTTTCGAGAGTTCGATTATACCTATGTTACGTCTTGACAATGACGTTTCCAACAGTTCCACAATACTAACTACTACGTCATTACTCATTAGTTATTGTGCTTAAAATAAAGTATGTTCGAAACTGGAAAAGCAATTTTTCTTAATCACTCATTGAAAACCACGAATGATGTACAGGAATTGTTTTGAACGCATCAAAAAAAGTTGATAAAACTTCGAACGGTCTGGAATTCGGAATTTTCTTAGTAAATTTACACGGTAAACAAGTAATGCATGTCGCTTACTGTGACATAACGGTCTACTAATTATTGTAATTAAAACGTGTAATTCCACACAGTTTATATTGTTATTCCAACAACCACTATAGTTATATAACGATAAAGCGATCAAACCGTGATATAAATATAAATAGCAATATAACGCAGTTAAAACACACTGGATAGGAATACGTGCAAAACATTTGCGTTGGGCTTTTCTGTCAGTGTTGTTTTATTGCGATCTTCGACCTGCCGACTCTGTACTCGTGTTAAAGATATAATATAGTCAATCTACCAAAACATGTATCAGAGATTCACGGTATTCCACGCTGACGGTGGCCTCGCGCACTTAACCTGTCCAGTGCATGTGCAATATCGCATTGCAATCATTAACGTCGTCCATTACGATTTACAAGTTCCATAACCGTAGCCCGTAGGACACTACGACGACGTAGATAATGCAGTTTACATGACATGTGTAACATAATATGTGTGTTGTTAGCGTCATGGTTTTCCGGTATCCGTGCAAACGCGTATAATGTTAGTAATAATAATAATAATAATGATAAGATGTACATTGCGCGGTGATGGTCGTTTGGCGAGTACCAAATATTGTTTCAACTGCTTCAAATCTGGAAAGACAAACTTGTAGTGTTCCCTTAAATCGACACATCATATGTATTTTGTATGTCATTTACACAAAAAATAGATATTTGCGTGTACGTAGTATTTTAATTGTGTTGTATGTACTATCGTTTAATTTTCAGAAGTGACAACTGACAAGTATTGAAGCACCAAAATTCGATATTGTCTTGATTTCGTACTTTTCAAGTCAATGAATAATATTCCTATTTATAAGCCAGCACTATTAATTTAGTGTGAAGTATGATCATCGGATTATACATTTATACGTTTATCGATTTATGTTCGTATCTTTAAAGTTTGAAACTCTCGTATACTATTTGGTGTTTCAATACTTCGGCATTCTGTAGTTTTAAAAATATATCATTAAACGATAAAAAAAAAATTTTCTACACAAATTTTGGTCAGAAACATTTGTATTACTTGTATACTTTGAAAAATAGAATACGATAAAAGCCAAACGAAATAACGACGGCGACGTAGATGTGAACCTAGCTTTAAAATCGTAATATACCCTAATCGTGAATGTGTCGGTAACAGTGATATTTTAGAGTTTGTTAGAACTATGTATAAATTAGCAAATTAGAAAACACGTCGCATGTGAGAACAATAATAAACAATATACCTGTGTGTTTCTGTATTTATTTTATTACTCATGTATTATGATGTTCATTCTTTACATTTTCAAATATTTGGGCGGTTAAAAGTCATATTAATATACTACTCTAGTACCATAACTTGCGAGTCATGGACATATTTAAAGATCAACGGCGATAGAAAATCAAAAAATTCTATGTATGTATTGAATCAAAAAAAAAAACTTTTTCCCATCAAAAATAGTAAAAATGAATACAGTAATAGTTTTTTTTTAAATACTCGTGCAATTATAACCTTATGAATTAATCTGACGTCTTCGCGAAGCGTTCTTAAGTTAAAGACATCTGAACCGTGTCGTATACTCCGACATAATTATTAAAACACAATAAAAATACTTTTTTCAGTGTTATAAACTTATTTGGAGAATATAAATATTTTTAAACTTTAGATTTTCTGTTTAAAAATAATCCTATAGATACTTATATTTTAATAGAAATAGTATGGTATGATGTTTTACATTTAAGTGTAAATTTACTTAAAAATATATTTATTTTTGTTTCTTAAGTTATTTTAGCATGTAATATTTAATTTTTTCATATTTAAAGTTTACTCATCTTTATAACGGCGCGTTTATTACTTGTGTGTAAATATGTCTTATAAATTATTGTTGTTTGTAAAACATTTAATTTATATACAAATATAGTGTTTTCATCATCATCGATGATATTTTGTGGGTATAATATATTATAGTATTTATATATTTTATCACTGTTTCATTGTTCACAAAACAAATAGCAAGGCTCCGAAGTGCGTTGGCATGGAATTTTACTAAACTTCATATAACATTTATTTATAGTGTATGTGATGTGTGTATACCAAGTGCATATACGTGACATGTGTTGTGCTATCATGTATATAAATAGTATATACAATATATATATATACGATTAATTGATTAAGTGTGTTGCTGTGTATAATAATATAGGTATATGTAATAATAAGTCTACTTCGAAAATCTAATCAAATTAGCTCCCTCTGCAATTTTTTAAATAATGAAATCTGGAAAACCGTTCTGCTCTATATTAGGTTCAGAGAGTATTTCTTCAGACACACCGTTTTTGATCATGTAGTAGTGATTTATTTTTAAAATCAAATTTAATACATCCATTATATTGATTAATGACTTAAATTTTTAAGGATATTTCATAATTTATTTATATTGATATAAATGATTTAGTAGATCGCTCTTATGTTTTCCATTAATATTGCATACCTACATATTTTAACTTTTGTAAATATTCAATTCTATAATATTTAAATATTTTTGAACTTTTATTTTATATTATAGAAATTACTACATAATAACGTTAAGGCAAAAAAAAAAAAAAAAATTAAGTCCTTAAGCCCGTTGAATAATATTTATAACTACCTATAAAAAAACAACTGAAACCGTTATTTTTCTTTTTTTCGATTTCATCAACATTTGAACTTCAAATGTATGTAGAAAAAAATTGTATGTATGATTTTTTAGTATTTTAAGTTGATGTAATAATAAATTATGAAAAATGTTCTATTATATATGTAAGTTTTTTTAGAAAAAAATATAACCAACATTTTATTGAAATAACTAAGTAAAGTTAAAAATTTCAAATGTTTTTATGAATAGCTTATAAAGAACTAAAATATTTTAAGAATTATACTATTTAAAAAATATTTACCTAAATATTTGTTGAAAATGTACGGTTATTCACTTATGAATTAGATTTAAAAAAAATACTATATCTTCAAAAACTAGCGATTTTTTTAAAAATTTTACTGGAGAATTTTTTATTTTACTTTCCAAAGTAGAACTAAATATTCACTAAAAACCACCCTCATAGTTAAAGGTTATAGAATTTTTAAATGCTCCAATAGGACAAAAAAAAAACATCATGTAAACCAATATATTTATTTTTGATAAAAATCATGAATCGTATTTTTAGACATTATTGTATGGTTTAAAAAATAAAAAAAACAAATTTTATTAGTTAAGTTGTAATTTATTTTAGATAGCTTAAATCTTGAGGTTTTTTTTCGATTTTATAAATTTGCTTGATATGAAATTTTTGCGCGTCATTAGTACTCAGTATTGAAGTACTATAAATTCATTTATGCAATAAATTTATTTTATGCATTTATGTTAAAAGATATAACGTAGGTATGTACATGAACTTAACTCCAATAAACTATAATTACTCTGCCTTTTTATATACGTAATATCAAGTGTTTTGTTTTTATTAGAGCCTATATATACAAGTTGGTTAAAAAAAATACGAAATGCGAATTAACAATCATTTAATCTTAGTAATTTTTGTAATTTTTGTAATTTCTCAAATATGGAATATTAATTAGGTAGTAATTACCATACACAGTTTGCTGAATAGTTAATTTATTCGTAGTCATTTTGACTCACGATTTTCAACTTTAAACATTTTGAAAATTATTTGAATTACTTATTGAAAATCTTAAGGATTTATACTTGCACCTCTTGTTTATTTGTAGATTAAAAATCGTAGTTGTGCCTCATTTTTTGAATTTTTAACGGAATACCATTGAATTACTCCATGTTACACATTACAATATGATATTTTATCGTACAAAATCACGATCTTGTATATTATAGTATTATTAATATATTATTGTTGCTGTATTATAGGAAACCGCCGAAACCGCAACCCCAGCAGACACACCGGTTGAATCTGAGTGGTGGTGGTGGTCCCCCCCGGAGGAAGACGTCTGGTTACGCGCGGCCGCAGTTCACCAGTCCTATGGAGTTAGAGACGCTAATGGAGGAAGGGGCTTTGCCCGGGCCAGGTAGCCGAGAAGGCGAAGCGCTGACGGTGGACGACGGCACTCGTGCATCGCTCTCCAACGGGGACAAAGCTCCGCTTAGCCATCAGTCACTACAACCACAACAAGAAGAACTCAACTCGTCCGCTGCCATGAAATCGAATTCCGATCGTCCGCACAGCTCGCTCAACCTTTACCTGGCAGCATGCACGGGTAAGTGCTATAATATATAATATTTATAACGATTTAATGATATGTACATGTGATTTAAAAAATAAAAATAAAATATTAATCCTATATACGTTGAGGGCCGGGTTTATAATTATTTTTGATGTTGTTATTTTTACGGGTTCTTCGGCAGATCTCTTGATTTTTAAAAATAAATTTCTCTCTCAACACTTCAATTCTAAAGGTCCATCTGTTTTTAAGTTTTTTTGCAGTGACTGACTTACACTCAATAGACGTTGGGTTGGGTTGAAATATTTAAAATAAATATAAGTATATTCGATGTTTAGATTTGCTTTTTTAAAATTAAGTTATTTATAGCTGATACGAGGTTTCTATTATGGAATTTTATTCCGTTTTATCGCGGTTCTAAATGTTTTTACGCGTATGGTTCTAGTGAAAATGTTCTATATACTGCAACAAATAATATTTTTATAGTCAGAATAACAAATGACTTTTATCGTTCTACTAAAAAAGTTTATCGGTAACTAAAAATAAAAAATGTTATGACAATGAAGTGACATTTTTATTTTTATTTCTTGTACTTACAATTTACATTCTATTTGAAGTCAATAAATATTATTAGTTCTCGAGATTTTTCCTATCAATTGAATAAATAATTAAGAACAAGAATAACTTGTTAAAAGTAGATTTGTTTTTATGAGCAATTCAAACAATGGATTTGAACACAAATAACTTGTTAAGGAAATATATCAATACTTAAGGTTAAGAATATATAGAAATGTTTGTGTTCCAAAGTATGTTTTCGTGAATTATTCATCTCTTTTATAACGCAGTATTATAACATTTTTTTTGTTGATAAAATGAAAGAAAAAATAATCTGTAGCATTTAATTAATTAACCCTAAAGATTTTTGAAATCTGTTTTTTTTTTTTTAATCCGTAACTATACTGTATAAGTATGATATTGTGTTCATGTAAAGGTAAAACAAAATACTCGATGCGGAACGTTTCTGGTCGGATCATTACTTCAAACATATACAAAACGAATTGGTTTCTCAATATAAACGGTCAACTTTCTTTTTGTTCGTTTTCAAATTATTTTGTTTTATTTTTCAGAAAAAAAAATAAAAAATATAAATAAATGTTTTATGTTTTGCTTCTATTAATTGAATTCAAGCAGTGGAAATAAGATAAGAGATTTTTTTTCAAATAAATTCCCACAACTCTAACTGACGCAGTTATTAGATGTAAAACTCAAAATTACATATTATAATGTAAATATATTGTTTAAATATTACAGTGATTAACAAACTTAAACATCGAACAGTGTGAGACAGACAGTATTTATATATTATTATAAATTATGCGTTTTGATTGAAAACATTTGTCTAAATTTATAGTCGTATATCATAGGGAATGGTATGCTCTGTAAAGAACATAGACTTGCATTTCATCGAATTAAATAGTATTTATTTCTAATGTTTTATATAATAGTAATAATAATAATAATAATATTGCCAACAGTTAAGTTATTATATTAGGAAAAAAAAATCTATTACATGGTTGTTCATGATGTCTTAAGTTTTTATAAATCTGTGGAACAACACTGTTTTAAAATGCAAATGTTAGGTTAAATTTTAATTTGATTCTATTTTTTGACTAAAATTGTTGTACTGTAGTTATTTAATCGAAACATTCGATGGCATGTTTACGTTTAAGAAATTTAGACATTTATTGCTTACGTCGACTAATTTCAAATAGATTTTTTTTTCTACTTAATCGTTTATATTTAAAAAAGTTAATGTTTTTTATGTAATTCAGCGAAAATATAATTGTTTAAATTTATTTTAGAATTATCAATTATTATGACGTACGTGATTGATCGCAGCTCACTACGTGATTAGTTACTCATCGTATACTTTACTGTTTCTGTATACTTTTAATTTTATCTGTGAGTTACCCAAAATAGTCTTATACATTATTTAAATATTTAGTAAAAAAAAAAATATTTAAGTATTAATACAAATATTTTAAAATAGTATTTATAGATACTTTTAAATTTTTTACATAACATTTTATTTCACCTTTTAAATCAACCATCTGAATTACATTTTTTTAGAATTTTTATGTTTTGCTTTAAATTTATGAGGCATTTAAGCCGATCATTTAGAGTTTAACTATAAAATACTCATCTTGTAAGATTGTTTAAATTATCGTTTAAGTATAATAGTCATCAAAACGACTATGTTGCCATAAACCTATCCACATTATGGTTATTCAATTATTTTTAAAAATATACCATTTTATACTAAACATATAAAATAATACTTTTAGCCGATTGATGATATTTTTTGTGAATATAGATTCTGATTTAAATTCACGCATACAATTATCATTGATTTTTTGATTTTTAACGTGATTAAATTAAAAATAGGAAATATATAAACTAAAAAGAAAAAAATATTTAATTTAAAATATAGATGCTTTTTTCAAAAGTATTTAAAATACGTACTTGTGTACTATTTGAATGGTTTTATTAAATTACTTTTAATTAAGTATTTTACAAAATTGTACAACAATAAAAATGGAAATGCAGGCAACGTGATTAGATAAATACATATAAAAATTGTATACAATTATCATTATCACCGCAGCATTTACGCGCTATAACGACAAACGTGAATCTGATTTTTACACATTATAGTGTTACAGACTATACAGTAGGTTATAGTCTATATATTGTACTTGTAGACTATATGTTATACGATGTGTATTATTATATTTGTTCAACCCTGTTGTGTATATTATCTATAATATTATATTTTATTTAAAAATATTACCTAACCATCGATATGCGTAGTATGGCATGCGGTATTTCAAAATATTAAGGTGTATAGTATAGGCTTATATAGGTATATATAAAAAATAAAACACATTTTATTATTTTAATGCTTGGATAACTCCACGTTGGATCGGCTGATAGAAATGATTCGTTTTGTATAATGTATGTGTAGGTAGGTAGGCCTAACTTGTTGTTTTTATCTTCGTAATTTATTACTTTACCAGTTTTTCAAAACGAAACAGGAAATGTACGACAACCGAAAGATATATATATATATACAATGCATTTTCTAAAACGAAAATATGCCTATATATACTACAGGACGACGTCTACCAAGGTGTAGTTTTTATTTTTGAATTTAGTGGGGAGTGCCGGCTGAACATAGGATTATATGTCTGTATCAGAATATATAAAAAAATCTGATCTTGCTGGGTCACAAAGAGCGTCGAGTAAATAAAAAAAGAAATCGTAAAATTCTATTCCTTGTCCTTTGTATTATATTATTATATACGTCTTACTGGACCTTCCAAAATAAAAACAAGATTATCTGTTCGTTTAGACTTAATGTTTTCTATATACTTACAAGTTACAACATATTCTTATTGATACAATATACTTAAACTTTATAGACATAGGCATCTATAATTTATAGCACAAGTCGTATAATTAGTAAAACGTCCATGAATTTATTAATTTCGTTTATATTATTTATAAGATATAATTAAAAACGCTTTGAATTATTAAATTGTTATATTACTCAAGCATATATATTTTAATTTGGTAACTCAACGTCATTAAAACTATGTTTAACTGAAGATAATACATATTCATAGTAATTTTAATTCATAATGTACAATTGTATACATACATAACGATAATATTATTATTGTTAATAGTAAATCAAAAAACTAAAAGTTTCATTGTTATTTTTTAGTATTTGATATACTAACACTATATTTTATTAAATATTTATATTCACTCGTATTTTATTACAAGCATTACTTATAGCTTTAGTTCAATTTTGTTTTTAATACACTACTGACAGAAATTAGAATATAATATGCGTTTGAAAATGTTGTTCTATCATAAAATAATATACCAACCTATTTTTGATATCATAACTATTTTTGTTAAATTTCTTTATTTTACTTCGAGTACTATTTTATATTTTACGGTAATACGTTATCAAGCTAAACAATGATGTTGTCATAAAATTATCATTATATGAAAACAAATAGTTGCTGAGTTCGAATTTTCTGAGTAAAAATTAAAAAATAATAAATATATATTACATTAACACAATTTTTTTTTTATTTATTTTTTTTTTTTGTGAATTTTATGCTTAAATACTAATAATATTTGGTAGTAAACGACGTTATTTATTAATTTGATAATCCGTTGTTTTGTGTAATATGCATAGTACATTATATGTATTAAATCTCTCATCGGACAATATTCGTTAAAAACGTTATAACTTCTATCATCAGATTTTTTCTTTTTAAATATATTGATCTTGTTTGATGAAAAAAAAAAAAATCATATCAATAAATTATCTTACGATTTCTATATCAATCAAGTAAAATGTTATTAATACCAATGTAATTATCCATACACATATAGAAGTCAATTTTATGTAATTAAAATAATAATTGTGTGCCGATAAATTATGATAAGTTTACAATTTAATTATAGTTAGTATTATAGTACTTATTTAAAATATAATATCACAATTTGTTGATGTAAACCATTAAATAAAATAAATTTTAAATAAATTTTGCACACATTGTATGCACGAGATACGAGTTATAATATTTATATTCATATATTGATTTGTGTATCAAACAAAAATCAAAAATCAAACCTAACCTATGATTCTAGTTAATAATTACATGCCTTTACATCGTATTAAAATTGCTTTGTACTCCTATAATATACTATATGAACTTAGAGTTTATTATTATACCCATCATTTCAAATACAAATTTACAACTATAATTACGAATGCCATAACAAAGCTGCACCTGCTTACGTTTTTTTTTTTGGGCATCGTATTAAAGGGATTAGTATAATATATTTTATTATCATCTCATGGACATTTTATTATAAAAATTGTGTGTAATTAAATATGATTATTGTTCTAATAGATTTAATACGTCATAATACATCATAATATAATATTACGATCATTATTAAAACGATATTATAATAAAATTAAACGTTTTTATTATGTAGAATTTAAATTAGTTTATTAGTACCTACTGTAAAATTTATTTAGGTAAACTATAACATATATAATAATTAAAAAAATATATTATGCCTAATAGAATACAAATAAATGTGTTTTATATTATCGAGTGATTGAAATAATCTGTTTTAGGCACATTTATACGCGGTTTAACCGCATAATTTAATAATACAAATATGATTGTTTCATACATATTTTATCTCTAAACGTTGAAGCAATTTTTTTTTTTTTTTTTTGTTATAACTATAAAATATGAATATAGATACATATATAATAGCAAGACAACATGCATTTTATCTAAAATATGCTAAAGTATGCTACGCAAATAAAAAAAAAATAAATATCCAAAGGGGATACAACGTATTTACTAAATACAGATACAGTGATATAATATTATATCTTATCATATTTATTATTATAATTATTTACAGTTATTATATAGTTTTTTTTCCAACAGGAGACAATATGTATTAAGATGATCGTTGTGTTAAATTATACATCTATAAAATTATTGACACTTTCCAAATAGAATCTATAGACATTTTAGATTTCTGGATATAGCGTAAGACTATAATAATTATAAAATGTGTAACTCGGTGTATTCAAATTGAGTTTTTCCACTCAAAAAAAAAAAAAAAATTATACAATTTGGAAACTGTTTGATTTTAGTTCCGAGTTTGTCTGAATTAAGTCTCGAATTTTATAATGATATATATATATTAGTTGGGTCGCGAACTCGTGACTTATCAGACATGCGTAATACGTATCGCACAATTGCATATAGGTGTGGGTACTGGGTAATATATTATATTTTTAAACATTAATTCCTATTGCTTGTAATACAAGTATATAACAAGTATACATCACTACAATTCTGCTAAATGATTAGTGTTGTGTTATACACCCATACAGATGGAGATTAATTCTAAAAATATGAATATGTCAAGTAAACAAAATAAAACTTTGATATTAAAAATAATTTTAAGTTTCATTCTTTTAAGTTACTTTAAAACAAATTTGAAATATGGAGATGTACAAATAGTTGCCAACCAAGTTTTCTATAAAATGAGTTAAATTTTTGTTACTAAAATATATACGAGTAAATACTTTCTAAGTTTTTTTTACACCTTCAGATAACAAAAAAAATATTATTTTTGAGAATTTCAATTTGAATTCATGACTTTAAAAAAAAAAAAAAATGTTCAAAAATACTTAAGTGCAAAAAAAAAACTGTTATTTTAAATGAAGTAAAAAAAAAAAAAAATAAATAAATAATAGATAAAAACAAACACTTTTAAGTTTTAATCATACCTACATTTATAATAAAAGTATAGGCAGAGGTAAGTCAGTAGAAGCATAAATGAGATGGAAAATTTTTTTATTGGAACAGTTCAGCTAGTTAACACTTATAATAACTTATACGGGGGAATCAATTATTATATTCAGTTTTTTTTCACGGAGCTTAAATGTTAGATATCATGAATTTTTTTACGGGGACTAAATTTTTAAAGTATTTTTTTTTTTTGTCATAACACTCAATTAGTATGTTTTTTTAGTTTAAGGGATTCAATTTGGATGTAGCCGTATAACTATTACCATTGTTATGGGGTTTTATCGAACTCATTATTGTTATTATATAGACACTGAGTAGTGAATATGTTATGCAAGTAACACAAAAAAAATACTTTGTTAGTATGAGGAAACTCACTACACTAAAACTACGGTACGTTTAAAATGCGATATTGTGTTCGTGATAGTATATAATATCATTGACGATTATTTGGGGTGTTGTTTTTAAAGTTATATATGCGATCGCAGAACATGTCGTGATTGATTGTGAGAGAAAAATAAAGAGTGAGGGAGAAATGGAGAAATGATTTCTTGTTCGTCAGCCAAATTATTTTAATAATATTTGTTTTGTTACACTTAGGAGTTTTATCGCAAAAGACATTTAAATGATTATTTACATCATCTGACATCCGAGTATCACTATAGTACCAACTTTAAAATATTCCAAGATCTTCAGCATAAAGTTATCACTGCATATATTATAATGCATTCAAGTATAAAACGACGAATATTGCACTTTCGGATAGATGCCAATTTTTAGATTTAAAATATTAATATTAAACAGATAATATCTCGTAGTTTAATACTGTAATCCACTTGTAATAGCTAATTATTTAATATTTCGGTTGAAACAAAAATACGCTTAAAGCACTATATAGTAACATAATATTTTTAGTTAAATAAATAAATATAAGCAATACTATTATTTTGTCGTTGAGGAACGTAAAATATAACGTTCTTGAAAAAACCCGTCAACATCCCAATTTCGTTATCCGAATACGTGATGATAGATCGAAACCGTTCACTAATAAACACTTTTACAGGCTACGAGAATGTAAATTAAAATAGATAAATTATTGCTGTTGAAAATTTATTTCACTATCAAGCTATATCCACAAGACTAGACGATATGAATTTTGGTATACCCGGTACTATATAGTGGCCTTTATTTAGTTGATGTGATTTTGTCATTGGTTTGTAATTAAATATGAGGCATGATTAGTTATTAAGGTGAAAAGGAATGTCGTTGACAATCTTTGCTAAATGTTGATATACAGTAAACTGTACACGTTACAAAAAAAAAAAAAAAAAAATATAATAAAAATAATTAATTAAATATAACAAGGTTGGGTAAAAAAAAAATGAATTCTATTAAACGCCGACAGTTAGTACAAAAGATTTATATCGTTTCCTACTAAGCATTTTGTCAGGAAGGGTATGTATTATATTATAGAGATCACTGACTTCAAGGGGTTTGGTGTATTTATTTCATGAATTCATTAACTTCAGGGAATTTTTGGAAGTTGTCTAGAAATTGTGATACTTATAAGTATGTAATAAAACAAAATACAAACAATTTTTTTCTTTAATGTATTTTAATAAGAAATTCATAATTTGTGATATATTTAAATTTCAATATTATTATAACATAATATATATTATGTCATCTGAAACCTTAAATATTTTTGCTGATATTAAATATATTACAAATATATGTGGCATTTAAATATCATTACCTTATTTATTATTATATTATTTATATTATATATCATTACATTTCTAACATGAAATTAAACTTGTTCATAAACTTTCATTTATATTATTTTTAGACTTAAGTTATTACTTACCAAATCTGTAAGATTAATTTTATACTCAGGTGATTTAGCTAACCTCACTTAGTTTATTCCTTACCCGTCCATAATTTTTATACTTATTAGATTATAGCTATTATAATTATATTTTATTATAGTACCAACTTATTTTTGATTGTATATAATATATTATTGATATGTAGTGTTTATACTTAGAATATTTCAACAATGAACATTTAAGTATTAATTATTATTGTGATTTGATTTTCGTTGATAAAATAGCGTCAACTATTACGGACTCGTTTTTTCTAAACATTAAAAATGTCTATTCTTTGTATTTTCTAAAATATTTTCTTGAACTGTAAAAAACCCTACCAAAAAAATAAAAATTTATCAAGTAACCATCTTTGATATTTTCTCATACGTAAATATACCACTGAACAACATATATGTATATGTCACTTATCAGTCATCGTTAAGTTGATTTGTTTTCCCCAGATTAGACTTATAGGGAACGCAATCGGTATTCATGCAAAATAGTTGGATTAGATATCATCACTAAAAAGTTTCCGATAGGGTTGATATCTGTAATATTACCATAATCGTACCAGATTTTCAACGAAAACAAAATTATATTGAATATCAATATAATACTCGTAGATGCTAAAAATTTATATTTTATAAAAAAAAAAATATAATGTTGAATCGTGATACAAATTATTATAATTAGGACAGTAAAAAAAAAAATATAATAATACAATTTAGCAACCACGTATATTAAATTTAATATTTATAGCTGTTAATTTGATTTTGTTTATAGAAAAACATTGTAATATTAATTGAAAGTTTATATAATATAGTTGTTTGTAAATATACGCATTTCTTCAGAGATTCGAATACGTAATTATTATTGTTGTGGTTGTGGCGTGAACGAAATGACTCGTACAAACGTAGTTTGTGCTTAAACAATGAAATAACCATTCATCGACAGCAGCAGTTATTGTATGATGTGTAATATCGCACTAGTCTTTAATTAATATCAATGCATATAGTTTTTAACCTATAAGGCTGCAACTGAGTACAGTTTAACCCCAAGATGCTAACAAATCCAACCTTTTTTAAACCTTATTCATAACTCATGTCACAACGTATTATTAATTATTTTATAATCATATCATACATAGTCTCGAACGATACGAATGTATGAAGTTTGTAGTTAGTCTTAAGTTTAACGAATCTATCGTCATTTAATCGTTTTTGAAACCCATTTCACGTAATAATTATGATGCGGGCTCGGAAATTAGTTTAATATAAATGCACTTGAATGTGTATGAATGTTCATAATGAATCAACATTGAAATAATTTTAGATTTATTTATTGCCTGGAATGAAGTTATTCGTGACAAATTTGAAATATATATTTAGGCTTAACCTACATTACTCATTATGTTTACATAAAAACGATAAGTATTATGTATATGGAATGTGCTCAATAAGACGATAAGCTTGCGATTATAATAATTTACCAAGATATACCGTATATTTAATATCGTATTCGTACCTTGTGTTTGCAGTGAACATGGGCGCGCTAGCTGCCGGCTGTGCACTCACGTGGTCTTCGCCAACCCTGGTGAAGCTTCAAAACGGTGAAACCGGCATTAAAATCACAAGCGATGAATGCTCCTGGGTGGGCTCACTAGTGACTCTGGGAGCGGCCATCGGACCTATACTCGCTGGAGCCCTGCTGGATCGTTTAGGTCGTAAGAACACTATACTTTTGAGCATGATACTGTCGGCGATCTCGTGGATCATCATCGGCGCAATTTCCAACCTCATAGCGCTGTACGTGGCTCGGGTGTTGGCGGGTATCGCTGTCGGTGTCATTTTTACCGCCGTACCAATGTACATCGCAGAAATAGCAGAGGTATATTAGTATATTACACGCACACATTATATATATATATATATATATATCACTTTTTTCGTGTTGCCTTGACGGTAGCGCCGAATGAATGTTAACCCGTCTTCTGCATTCAAAGCGGTTGAAACGTGCTAAAATCATCCACTCAGTTTATTTCTCTCTCAATAATAATAACTAAAACAATAACTTTCACATTAATGTTAAAGTATACATGATTTTTCGAATGATGTTAAAAAGTGTATTCACAATAACTCAAAATTGGTGTTATGATTTACGGTAATTATTATCTACATTAGTACATCTAGTGGGCATAAATTGTAGTCATGTATCTACGTAAGCATGATACAATTATTAATTGTATTCGATAAAGTACTAGGCACTATTAATTATTGATAGACAACTACGAGAAAACCTCTAACAACTAAATGAATTTAATCCAAAAAAAATTCTAGAGTGAAAAAGAGAAAATATCATCTATACCAGTGGTCAGCAACCTTTTTAGACTCTCGGGCCACATTTATAAATTAAAAAGAGTTCGCGGGCCAGACAAAAATTAAAATTTTATATTCCAACTTATTTACTTAGAAAAAAAAATAACTGTTTAAAACTTTAAAATAATAGATTAATAGAACATAAAAATTACAGTTTTTAATAATATTATTATAGTATAAAAGTATGAAAATTACAACTGCTTAATAGGCTTAATGTGATTTGAAAAACGCAATGTTACTGAATACAATCGAAAATTAAGATTATAACCCAAATACACTCGTCGTATCTACTCTATCTTATCGGTAACTGTCAAGGTACTATTATAAAATATGACTAATAGAAACGTTCAATTATATTTATACAATATAATTTTTTTTTAAATATGATATTCAATTAAATTTCATTGTTATAGAATTTAAAGCGGGCCGCCGGTTACCGGCCACTGATCTATACTATCATGTTTTTGTTTAAAATTATATATCATTAGTTTATAAAATAATAGATAAACTATTTATGACATACGTATATATAGGAATATAATTATTTTAGGTACTATACGTGTTTATAGGAAGTCGATAAAATACCTTAAAAGCAATTGGGTTAACATTTTTATTTTATTTGCAAGATTTTAAAAATTATTTTAAGATGTACATATAATTTTAAAAATGTTTTAAATATCAACCATATTTTACATTTATTTACACATTTTGTGTGTGTCATAAATTAAATTAATTGATTTTATTAATTTTCAAGTACAAAATTATTTTTAATAATAGATAATAAAATAATTATAAAAAATGAGAATTAACTTTATTTACGTAAATTTCAATTCAACATTATTTGTTTAATATTTTAAGTTTGAATGATATAAAATAAATAAATATTAACAGCTTATTTTGTGGTTATAGTGTACTTAAGTAATTTATTATTATTATATTTCCGTTCATATGGTTCATTTTTAAATCTATTTAATACTTAAAAACTGCAATTTAGAATCGTTCAGAATAGTAATAATTATACAAACCATGACATTGATCTATTAACCGGCATATCCGAACACATACTTTGCTGAATTAATTATTTCAATATGATTAAGGTAATATTTATCTTAGACATATCGCGGTAGTTGAAATTGCGAATCTCATTCGGCTGTTGTACATAATATTCATAAACACATAATAATTAATAATGTATTATAATATGGAATTACGGTTGATTAGCTATCCGTGAATGTCGCTGTGTATGTATAGTTTATAATATATATATAATGTTTATGACATCGTATTATTATTTAGATGCGTCTGAGGTCATCATTGGGTACACTGATGCAGTTCTTCTTGGTTGTCGGATTTTTGCTCGAATACATTGTCGGACCGTACACATCATATCTAACGCTAGCCATCGTGTCTCTGGCGACGCCCGTTCTGTGCTTCGGCATGTTCGTGTGGATGCCGGATTCGCCACAGTCACTGTTAATACGGCCTGGGGGAGAGCAGAAGGCCATGGAATCGTTGCGGTGGTTGCGCGGTAATCCACAAGAGACGGCTCTGATCAAAGAGCTCGAAGATATCAAGGTACAGACCTATACGTATATTAATCTTTCATCAAACACGTAATTTGACGGGTTTTAAGAGAAAAGCCTTTTTTTTTTTGAACTTTAAAAATCAAAACCAATTGCTTTGCAAAAAACTTAAACAATTTATGTCTTTTTGATATTTTTATTTTATACCAAATATTTTTTATTAGAAATTATAGTATACTGTATTTCTTATTTTTAATTTTATAATAAAATATACTGTAGTGTAATACTTATCATTAATTTATGTTTTTACTTGTTGATATGATGATATATTACTTTGTATACCATTAACTCAGAACATCACGAGTTTTCACTGTCTAATAATAGTTAATAATTTAGCCTTATCTCATAAAAGCAGTCCAAATGTTAAATTATATACTTAAAGAGTGTTATAATATAATTATTGATTACATTTATTCACTTAAAAAAAAAACCATCCAATAAAAAAAAAAACACCTTTAAAAAGTTTTAAAATAATAGATCTTATTAATTGTTTACACTTTCCAGATATTATGAACTTAATTAAAAAATACCAGAGAAATAATGATAATAAAATCAGTAATAGATAATAATCCGTCCTTTACATTGTAGAAATCCGTCGACGAGGCGAAGAAACAAAAGTCTAGTTTCGATGAACTATTTGCTAACAAGGGAAACATCAAGGCGGTGATTATATCCTGTGCCATGGTAGCATGGCAGCAGCTCAGCGGTATCAACGTGGTGTTGCTGTACAGTGAAATAATTTTTTTGAAAACCGGTGTCGATCTATCTGCCAGCGTGTCTACAATAATCGTCGGAACGGTGATGTTGTTCGCTGCTGCTGCGACGCCGACCTTAGCTAAGAAAACTACAATGAGAATGCTACTATACATTTCTGCAATCGGAATGGCAATTACCGACGTAAGTACTACATTATTTTAATACTTTGAAAACATTTCAATAACGGTATTACGTATAATTTATTATATAGGTACAAGTTAATTTTGTTATATAATATTCATTTAAACGCAAGTCGATCAACTTATTCACCCGCTTTTATTATTATTTCTTTTTGTGCACAGTTTTTGAAAATTTTTTCACTAATGGAATATCCCAGGAACCGTACGGGGAATACAATTTTGGGGGTATTTTTAATTTTTAAAAGATAGACGTTAATAATTATAGCAATACAATTACATAAAGAAAGATGCTCGGACATGGATCAGTTCATAATGTGAATGTAGTGTGGTAGGTGGTCATTTTAATAGATTTTGAATTTCCAATTTTTGTATAATTCTTCCTCTTTAAAAATATACTTAAATATCTATAATATTTACCATAACCATAAAAAAACTTCAAAATTTCTGTTGGGGAATTGACAAAACCTAACCTGTTTACGTTTTTGTAACATTTTATTAGAGATGTTGACTACAGGTTTACGTCAAAAATAATTACCCAGCAATAGATATATTATATATTTTTATAAAAATGTCCATAAAAATCGTTTTAACATATTTCTATTGTTGTGATATTATTATAGGGAGCGCTTGGCTTATTTTTCTATTTACAAAATTCAGGAAAGGATGTGAGTTCTATTGGATGGTTACCGGTTACAAGTTTGGTACTTTTCATCATCACTTATTGTCTCGGTACGTTATTTACATTTGTTTAAAACTATATAATATTCAATATGACTTAAGTCGAGAATTAAATATACTCAGTCCTGAGGATATTTTATTACCTAATATTAACTAGGCATACAGAGTTGTATGTATGATACTACTTAATAATTTAATATAACTATGTACTTTATGGACCTAGATGAACAAAATTGTGAACTGATTATACATTGAAATAATTTTCAGGTTTCGGTCCTCTACCATGGGCTATTATGGGAGAGATATTTCCGACCAATCTTAAGTCTGTGGCATCAGCTTTAACAGCCAGTTTTTGTTGGCTGCTGGGCTTCGTACTAACGAAGATGTTTGATATGGTGTGCAATGCTATTGGCATACACTTTGTATTTTGGTTTTTTGCCGTGTGCTGTATATTAGCACTGTTGTTTACGGCATTTTTATTGCCAGAAACCGAAGGCAAGACACTTCAAGAAATTCAGGACATACTGCACGGCAGAAACAAATCCGAAAACCTCAAAATGACCAGAGCATAATACATGATACAATTTTGTACAAAAGCGACTGATTATTTTTCATTTGATTAAAACTTGTTTAAATTGTCTACACGATATTTATATATATAAAACATAAATATATGTTGCAGATAACAGCCAATATATTAATTAGGTATCGTTAGTTTTAAAATCCGATTTTAAGTATATCTATATTCATACGATTCAATAATCATACTGTAAATTTTGTACTCAATATTTTTATTTTTCATTTTATTTTAGATAGTGAAGACCTTATTCATACATTATATGTTTATTATTTAATATTATTAATATTTAAAATAAATTTATCACACACAAGTAATTCCATCCGACACGATACACTGTTTTAGTTGGTACCTACTACCTACATATTAATCAGTCTACAATTAATTGTATGTGTGAAATAGATATTTATTTTGGCATGCTATTGAATAACATTATAACATGTATATCAACTATATGTAAATTTATTATTTTTTCATTTTTAAAATCAAAGATTAAAAATATTTTTGTAGCATTTGTTGAATATATAATTTTTTAAGTATTTATTGCATTTTAATAGTTTGAAAACAGACAAGTAGGTATTAAATAAATGAATTGTTGTAGGTCGAAAGAAAATCAAATAAAAATAAAAATAAACATCCACAGTTTACATGCATACGTTAATAATCAAGCATGAAAAATAGACCATTGATATTGTATAGTTGCTTATATATTTTATATCCAAGGGTTTTACCCGTAAAAAATTAAATTTATCATAAGTTACCTATATTTTTATACCTATACTAGTAGTATAATTTTACCATTGTAAAATGTTCAATCCAAACCTTATTTTTATTTTACTTCAATATATATTGGTAAACTTCCCTAAAATACACAATTAATAACTATTTTTAAGCAGTTAAAGATAGCTATATTTTAAATTTTTCTATTTTATCTGTAATCTGTATAATCACTCGTCGTGTGGTTATGTATCAAATTATATTGTACCTACCTAATATTAATCGCATACAATATGTGATTAATTATAAATCAGGTTATAATACTTAATTAGTGAATAAGATATTAAACAATTTAATGCTATCATGAATTATATTGCTGTTATAACTCAACGTCTCAACATATTTTAATATTTATACACATTAATATTTAAATCAAAATTTAAGAAAGTACTATGTAGTTACATGACATTAGGTTCATTAATTTATAAATCTTAATTTTGAGCAAACGATTTAAATATGTTTGATTTTACAATTAAACTATTGTAATATTAATAAAAAATAGGCCATAATTTAGTCATAGAAATTCAACTCTATATTATATTCCTTTTTTTTTTTTTTTAATATAGGTAGGTATATTAAAAATAATAATAATAATAAAATAAATAAATACGTGTTTAGTACTTTGAGTAAAACGTTAAGTTGTTGCTATGTATTTTATAGCACAAGTGTTAATAATAAATAGGCAATTAATTTTTTAGTAATTAAAAAATTAATTATTCAAATTAAAAATTTTCTACTGCAAGTAATGGAGTCCAACATTAAGAATAACAGTATAAGTATAGTAAACTTATAAGTTATAATATTAAGTAGTTACTACTTAGTACTAACTAGTAACAACTTTATAGTCTTAAGGACTTATAACGACAGTTAAATAGTCATTATTGAGCTAGGTAGTCCAGCAATTTAATAACAATAAGCAATTTTAAATAAAGTAAATTAAAAAATGGAATCACTGCCTTTTGTTCTACAAAATAGTTGTTTTAACCATCAATTATTCCAAAGCTTACAGTTCTCATAGTTTTCATGTTTACCAAAATAATAATAAATCGGTTATTAATAAATGAAATGAAATTATTGTTGATTTAATGAAATTTAAAAAAAGTTTTTTTATATACGAATATTTCAATAATTAGCATAGACTACTTTAAGTTGTATTCTGTATGATTTTCACATTTTATTATAATCTCATACACCTTAAACAAAATCGTGTAAAAATTATAATCAGCTTTAGTTCATGATATATAAATCGATAATATATAATTACAAGTTACAATCAGTTACAAACCTATAAGTTAAAAGTAACTGCAAATGTTAAAAACGTCCTTATAGACTATAGTACACTATATTATACAAAATAATAAGTCAAGATACGTTCAAAATCGTTATGATTTATAATTTATTACAAATTTTAAACACTGCAGGTTAAATACGCAGTACACAGGCTTATCCTGTCTCACTTTCGTATTTCCACCCTGGCTGTTTGTGGTCCGATCCTTGCTGGTGGTGGCATAATCGTGGAAATGGTTAGTGCAGGGTAAACCATGCTTTCGATATTGGTAATTAATAGATATATAGAATTTCCCGTTAGGAATGCCGTTGATCAGATGCGCGATCCGGCGGCCGAATGTTATTGTCAAATCTGAACTCTCCCAGACGATTTTCGTCAATGTATAAACTATAATTATTACCAAATTGTCATTGGTCCGTCCATTTTGCGTGATAGGTCGTTTCTTAGATTCTATTATTAAATTCCTCGAACATGCTCCAGGCCATGATGTAGCTCAAATCAATGATTAAAGCTCAAAGTGTCATAATTAACAAATTATGCCAGAAAGCTGATTCTCTGATTGAGCTGGGAAAATTAACCAAAAGTGATCAAGTCAAGGGAGGCATCACGGACATTATAGACGTAGTAGAGGAAGTGGCCAAAAACAGAAAGTTATTACTCCCGGCACTGAATGAAGCGTGCCAAATTGCATCCAAACTCCCACAACCAGCTAAATCCTTATCGGCAGAAAAGGCCACACAAAGAAGCACAAGTATGTTAGCACAGGGTTTAGGTCCAGTAACGACCGGCAATACTGAAGTTCTTAATTGCCTGGAAAAACAAGACGAGAAGATCGAGGCAATAATGGCGTGCATTGTTGCGATGCAGGAAAAAAGGATGCAAAACAAATTGCGGGGAGAACAACAAAGAAAACAATCACCAAAATAACCCAGAGACCCAAACCATGGATACTGGAGGAAGCGCTGTAACCAACAACAAAAGGGACAAATAATCAGTAGGAGAGGCAGCATAGACCGAAGTGGTCAAAAAGTCTAGGACGACTAAGAAATCGCCACACCAACGAGGCAACGAGACAAACAAGACTCTATATAATTAGCACTGAAGGCTCTTCGTACTCAGAAACATTGAAAAAGATCAAAGCTGATAAAAGAATTTAAGGCACGAGCTAGGCTATAAACGCGATATCCAAGACTAGACTAGAATATGTCCGCATAGAACTCTCTGCAGAAATACTAGTAACGCAGACAGCCTAAAAAACGCAGTCTCCCAAGCGACTGGCAACAAAAACGCCTGCAAGCTACTTTTGGATACGGCGAAAATTGTAATAAGAGATGTGGACGAAGAAGCTGCTGAAGAAGAAGTGATGCAGGCCATCCTACAGAGGAGACAATAGTCAGTAAACTTTTTCCAAAACACCAATTCGACAACAATACAAGCCGACACAAATGTCCCCCCCAGGAAGCAACAGAAACAGTAATAAAAATAGAAGAACTCGAAACCGCAACCGGATCACTAAAAAATAATACTGCCTCAGGACCAGATGGCATAACAAATGAGGTTTTCAAGTGTCTTACAAAATATCATCCGGAACTTCTACTGAAAACGTACAATAAATGCCTAACCGAAGGTCACTTCCCAGAAACGTGGAAAAAGGCTCGTCTAGTCCTCCTGAAGAAAAAGAACAAACCATTAGACGACCCATCTTCTTATAGACCACTATGTGATGCTAGACAACATGGGGAAATTATTCGAAAAAATACTCAACAATAGACTCCTAACATTCCTCGAGAATAACATAAGTCTAAATCAGAGATAATACGGATTCCACAAGGACAGATCTACCACAGACGCTACACAACCTCAGAAGCATAGTCGAAACAAATGACACGAGGAAATAATTTGGAGTTCTAACACTTAACATTCAAAATGCTTTCAACTCAGCGCGTGCAAAAAAAGTCAATACTAACACACCTATGCCGCATCATAGGTAGCTATCTCGAGAACCGTACACTCCTCTATAAACTCGACGACACACAGAAAGAACAAATTCTAACCAGCGGCGTTCCACAGGGCTCCGTCCTAGGGCCCACGCTATGGAATATACTATACGACAAACTATTGCAAAATCGATTACCCACAGGAGTTTCTTCGAAAGACGTCGACAAAAACTTAATATTGTAAAAATTCCTTGTTTTGTACAATCCAATAAACGATGGAATGTAGGAGTGAAATAATTTAGGTCAGTATCACCCTACCTTTCAATTTAACAAGTAAAAAAAAAAGATTCTTTTTGCTCGATGCATAGTACGCTGCTATTGCATAAAGTCACCGCACTGATTTAAGTTGTGGTATTTGTGGTTAACGAGCCAGTGTTTTTAAGAACTTCAGGACTTGTGCATGTATAAGCCTATATAGCATATGGTCATATGCGAATCGTTACATTTTCACGTATGAAAGCGAAGTCGCTTGCAGCACAATCCACAGACAGCCCGAATATGATAGCCAATGACTTGTTGGTAACACACACGCCCATCTTTTGCAGATATCGAACGACGAGAGTCAGATGAGTAATACAAATACATGGAAACATGGAAGTGTCGAGTTCCCAGCCGACATTATGTCACAATAAATAATAGGATTCTAGAGTTTATATAAAAATCGAAAACTTTCGATGACAACCGTACAATAATAATTGTTATTGATACAACAATGGACAACTTCCCGAAAACCACAAGTATCTATAATGTAAAATTTAAACCTTAATATGAGGTAGGAACACGGACGTCAGCGGCGTTGAACCCTCGGAAAGTCAACGTTTGGAGATCCGGTGGGGCGTGATTCCAGCGGCCACCAGACGCAAACACGGTGTCAACCGGACGCCTGCATCGTCAAGTCTGCTGAAGGAGTATCGGGGTCGCAGTGGGTTGCGGCTTAGTCCGCTGAATTTTGACTCTCTTTTTTGCCCCACCTCCAATTCCGCAGCATCAAATCTTCGTTCGTTCCGCGCACACGTCGCCCGTCGTCAGATTCGTCATCATCTGCCATACTTGTCCGCGTTCGCATAACAAGCTGCCATAACGTTGCAGAGGTAACTAGTGCGGGTTACAGTGAGCCGTCTCTTGTGATTATACTCGCTATCTTGCATTCACTTCGCTATTTCGTATCCCCAAAGGCGTGTGCAGACTACAATTTCCGGTCGAGTCTGGAAAAAATAATACTTAGACAGTGCCCCTAATTTTTTTTTTTTAACACATTAATATATATTCTGTAATTGCAAATTAAAAACTTTGTAAATACTAAATAGAATCAAGTTGTATATGCTAATTTCTAGACATATATTTTTGAAGCTAAAAATAAAATGATATAAATTATAAATATAAATAATACGATTATGTATAAAAAGAAGAAAATACAATACCCAAAATTAAAAAAAAAAAAAAAAACTTGGTTTAATGAACAAAAAATTGTATATTCATAATATTATAAGATATAAACTTTATTACGTAATTTCTCCTATTTCCCATACTTTTGAATTCGTTAGTGACCATGTCAAATTGTCAATACCTACTCATAGGTACTAGATATTAGTTTTGGTTCAGTAAATATTAATAATAAACTATTAAGTCGGTCTTGATATATAGTTATATAGAGTTATGTTATTTTTTACTATTGTTAATTTAAAAATTCTTGTTCGTAGAAACAACTTGCAATTGGTATTACACTGAATAATTTCATAGTACTTACAGTAAAAAATCTATTAAATGATTTTATGTAATTATTCGCACTGTCGTGTATATGAAATTAATTATTAATAAAATTAACGTCTTATAAAATCGTTAAAATATATAAATATATTCAGCAGAAGACTCATTTAGGTATATAGAGTTATGACTTATAAGCATCGTTCTGACTTCTACTACAAACGCTAAACGCAGGCATTACTTACATTTAAAAGTATGATATATTACTATGTACCTATTAACTATTAAGAAATAGTACAAGATAAAAATGTAACGTATAAATTAAGTAAAAATATAAATTATATAAATAGAAAAAAAAATAACTAGGTTTTCTTACAAGTTTCACAAAATATGATGCGAAAATAGTCAGTTATTTTTTTATTTTTACGTGACGCTTTAGTATTATATTTATAATAGTATAGTGATTACAAAGTTCTTATCACTAATATAACCGATGGTCGTTCCTATACTCTTTGGAACGGTTGTCGATAACATTTCCTTCGAATAACACTATCAATTATCGACAAGCATAATATAAACAAAATATTATTAATTATTATGTAGCTACTATTTATTTATTTGTAGTTATCTATTCACTTATTACTCATGTAGGTATTTTAAATTCAAGTTAAAATCAAACAACGTCCAGATAATTACCACAATTATTTCATTTACATTATTATAAAAGTAATAAAATAGACATTGACGGATATAAAAAAAATGTAAGAACCGTCTATCTTTTTAACTTTTTCGGTGTAACATAAAATTGTTACAATCATGAGTTCAGGATTTGTTTCGGAAACAGAGCTTGCTGAACGCCGCAGAATCCGTCAAGAAGAATGGGATAAAGTTAGAACAGCTGACCAACCTTTAGGTGACATGAAAGTTTTAATTTGCCTAAACTTGATAAGTTTAACAATAACATCTATTTTATCTTATATAGTGGTACCTGAAGAACAGTATGATCACCGATCGTTGTTCGATAGACTTGAAGAACAACGCAGAAAAAAAGAATATGAATACGAAGAAACCCATAAACTCAGTAAATTATTTGTGTGCAATTTATTAAAAGTATTCTCTAATACACATGAAGTAATTTTTTCATAAATCATTTAATTGGTTAAAATAATTTAGTTCTAAACTTCTAAGTGTAATAGGGAGTTTTAGTTTTTCAATAAGAAATTTTTTTCATATTAAATTTGTTTAGAAAACATGATTAGAGGATTGGATGATGATGAAGTAGGATTTCTTGAACTGGTTGATAAGACAAAAATGGATGAAGAAAGACGTCAACTAATTGAAGAGGCCAGACAGATTGAAGAATTTCGTTCAAAAGTATCAACTCTTCAATGTGAAACTACAGTTTCTCCGTTAGCAGTCACTATTTCTAAACCACAAACTTTGAAAAATAATGTGTATGTGATAATGTTTAAAAAGTTATACTTGTTAAGTATTAGTAAAATAAATGTATATTTTGTATTTCTAATCATATTGACAGAACAAGAAAAACACAGAGTAAACTTTTGGCTGGTGCAATCGTAAAGAAAAGAACATATGAGGAAACTACTAATTCTTCAAAAAAACTTAAACCTACCATTGATGATTCTAAAATATTACCAGAGAAATCAACAGGTATGATTGTATATTATATCATTTTTCCAAATAACAAACATACATTTAAAATATAAATAATATCAATTAAAAGATTTTCCATACAGTCATAATTACTTTCAATTGTATTTTCTATCACAATTCATTTAAGATATCATAATGGACATAATGTGTATAATTATTTAAAAGACAAGTATATTGAAATAGGCATTACAAATTTAATCAAAAAAATCATTTTTTAAACAATTTTTTTTTATTGTTAACATATGTTGTTTTTAGCATAGATTATTATTTCATTCAACTAAATTAATTTTCTACTCCATTCAGTAGCATGGTTTCATTTTATTTATTATTATATTTTTGTTAGCTTAAACATTTTGGCAATTTAAATTTGGTTAATTAATTAACTTTGGTATTGATAGATATATACATATTAATAATTAAAAACATTGCTTTGTATGTATAATGTATATCTGTAAATAAATCAAATAACAAAAATACAACATTAATTTTCTTTTTATACATAAATGTTATCAAATTTGCTCATTATTATTGTTCGGGTCATAAATATTCTTAAAAAACAAATAAAGAAATAATTGTTATGAATAAATTTAAACTTTATTCTAATATTAATAATTTTTTCAAAGAATTCTGTGTTGAAATTTCTATTAGGTTAAATGTTAATCATTGATACCTGAAGAAGTTAAGTTTCTTCACATGTAAATTATACATACCTAATAAATATATATTGTACATATGTATTATTTTTTCAGGTGAAACTAAATCTAATATTTTACCAGGTCTTGCATATTCAGACAGCTCTGATAGCGAAGATGACTAGTTCCTTGTATACAATTTAGCATTTTATGTAAAATTATTATTTTATATTGGTGTTATAATTTTGAAATAATTTTAATTGCATATACGTTTGTTTTTGCAAAATAAGAAAATTTCAGTTAAATATAAACTATAATATTTAAGTGATTCATAAATTTAACTAGTATTCATGTTTTGACATATAAGACATAAGTCTAAAAGTATACATTTAAAATTATACGACGTATATAAATTGAATGTCTGATTGTATTTCCTTATATTTTAATGATAAAAGGTAAATATATCTTCGTTATTCTGTTATAATATTTATTATTTCATTAAATTTATTCATAATACTCAACATTTTAATTTAATAAAATAGTAGAGAAAAACTGGAAATAGTCCAAAATACGATCAATACAAATGTTAGTCGACATTTAGCTCCATTAAATCAAGTTATAAATATTAAATTTGACTGGCAGAAGTAAAAACACCAACATTGGTTGGTATAATCTTTGTATATACTGGTATATTGTTTTTTTCAAAAAGAGAGAAAATGAATGGTCATGAATCATGATTCAATACTGTCGATACTATCCAATTGACAAATCCCTTTTTCAAGGTAAAATAAAATAAAACCGTTGTTGATTAAAATGTGGGATCCATCAGTCATTAAAAAAAAACATGTAATTCCAATCACAACAATTCTGATGAAAATGAAATAGTAAAAACAAATAAAAGAAGTATGGTGGAGATTATGTCAAAATCCAAGAACTAATTTTAATGACTGTTTGGCCACTATAAAAAAATTTTTTCACAACAACTGACTAAGCTATTGACAACACTTAGAAGTAGAATGAAAAATGTATGAAGTTAATTTACAAATTGATTAAATAAATTTGTATTTTATTTTTATGATGTAGGTAGCTGATTGGACCATTACTAAAAACTTAATTAATGATAAATACAAGTATCATACTCAGTTTTTCACCTTCTTAATAAAATGCATATATCCACGGAACCTGGAGGTAGAAATTTAATGGATATGAATTAAATTTGAAATACTGAAATATAACAAGAGAAACTATGATAGTATTTTTAAATATACTCAAACAGTGACAGAAAAAGTTGTATGATAAAAAAAAAAGAAGCTTAATTGTTATCCTATACTTTAATATGTTTAATCATGTTTTGTATTATTGGTTCAATTTGATTTTAATACTATTAAGTTAATTAGTTATAATATTTTTTAATTTAGTTTACTTCCCATTGTTTGGCCATTATGTACAAAGCCTAGATTATAAAGACTTTTTCCTACTTTGATCACCAACATTAGTCATTGGGCATTCTGCTGAACATATCATACAGGTAGTTAAAATGTATGCCTAATGTACATTTGATTATTGTTATGTAGGTAATTTTTATCTACAAAAAAAAAAAAAAAAAAACTAAGTGTAATTTGATTATATTCTTAAGTATTTAAAAATATTCTTAGGTATGTATCATTTGTTTTTGTTATTTTCTTTACCACAAAAATTATTGATTAATTTGAAAAGTAACATGTGTAATAATGAAGACCTGTTCATAATTTTTTATAGTCAAACAAAGGGTGAACAAGGGTTTTCTTATTCAAAGATGTTTTTTATTACCTACTGAAAATTGTCAGCAATAATGATATGACTGATATACATTGAGGTTCGACATGACATAATCTCCTTACTTAATTATGCTATAATATTATGTTGAATAGGTAGGTATATACATTTTGGTAAACGGATTACTGAAGGGTCGATAGAATATAACAGTTAACTTAATACTAAGACATTAATTATAATACAAGTTATAACCATAACATTGTAATGTGTGAATAATGAATATCAACAAAAATGTAGGTAAGTAAAAAAATAGTTTCAACTAGGTAATCTGACTAGAATTATTTGTTTTAAAAATAACTTTTGGGTACAAATTTAAAAAAAAGTTAATTATCTATGCATAAATTAAATTTTTTATTTCTTTAGTTAACATTATAGGTTTTCTTATAATGATGCATCTAGTTAATATTATTATGAGTATGTACCTATTCATTAAAATAAAATGAAATGTATTACCTACTGTATTAGGTGAAATAAGCACATTGATTAATGTTGATTACAATTTTGTTATCATTTATTTTGCTTTCTTAGGTTAAATATGCACATTGAATTTTGATGGGGCCACCAAAACTTCCTGAACTTTAAATGTTTTTTTTTTTATTTTATGTCATGGACATGTATCTAATAAAATATCATTAGGATTCATTTATACATTATAATTTATAATACGTTATACTCATTAGAGTATAATAGGTAGGTATTATTAAAATAATATTCAGCAAAATAATGATTAAAAATATGTTATTTCTTATTTAATCTGTTATTGATGCGCCAGGTATGTTTAAACACTTTAAACAGAAAAAAAATCTTACAGATAAACTACTATAGGATTATAAAGGTCGACATTTTATTATTCATATATTATACTTACTAGTTACTATATAATATGTTACCATATAATATCACTGTTAGAGATACAGTATGAAAGAGAAACCCATCATAATGACAAGAACTTGATAAGGGTCATTTGGCAGATGGACATTTACATAAAAGCATTTTCTTGAATGGAATTCAGTTAGGTAAATATATAATATTAATTACATTATCTATGTTTCTATATGTGTATACTGTGTAAAAGTGCGTATTTGGTTAAATTATTAAAAAAAAACAAACTATATATCGTATTACAACTGCTAAGTCTAAACCAATGTAAAAAATAAAACTATTATTGTTTATTATTATTGCATCAGTTCCATGCATTTTGTTTTGTTGTTTTGTAAGTCGTTAATTCAAAATTGTTTCTATTATTTTATTTATTCTTCTAGAAAATAGTGGGCCTTATTAAATACATATTATGTTTATAAAGACCTAAAAAATATGATACATTTTTCGAGTAATATCCTTGATTAAGGGAAAGAAATAGCCATCTACCTTAAAACAAATGGACTTTTATATGTAAATATGAAAATTTCTTATTTTTAATTGAAAACTTGCAATTGAATAGATAATAGTAGATATTCATTTTTACATATTTTTGCATACTTGATGTAAAATTATATTCATATTTTTTTCTCATAATATTTTACGGAGTTCTAAAACGTCAGAATTGGCCCCCGGGTTTTTTCAGAGGGTATATCCGAATTGGTTCCCGAGTTATTAAAAATTGTGGCTTAATAATTATAATAATAAACAGTAAAAATTTATAACAAACATTTTTAAAAAATTCAAATCTTAATTTAAAAATATAAAATAAATAATGTGGTACATAGTTTTTTTAATTTGAAAATTTTTTTATAGTTATTATTTTCTATTATTGAGGTAAAAAAAATTCAAATCTACTGATTTCATTATTTTTATACTTATACATTTCTGTTTTTATAAATATTTCCTTATTTTTAGACTTCAGGTTTTGTAGTTTGTTCGTACTTCGCAATTTTATATAAGTTTCAATTTGAACTTCTTTTACTACATCCACAAATTGAAATATATTCGAATGTGCAGAATAAAAGTAATTCTTGAATTTGCTGTCAAATGATTTGCAGCAATTTGTAGTTCGTTCTATACTAGTGGTATATTCAAACCATATTGTTGGTGGAAATAAGCTATCTCTTTTAATATAATTTTTAAAATAAAATCAAAGAATTCATCAAGTTTTTCATTTATCGTTTTTAATGACATTAATTCGTTAATATAGCAATTGTTAACTTCTGTAGGCGATTGTAAAAATAACCCAAGAAATTTCTAGAGCTTTTCGTTTTGAACTGTTACTTAATTTCTGTGTGTTAAGTTTTTTATCAGTATGTTTTTCAAGGTTATGTTTAATATTTTTATCAACAATTATATTTAAGTTACCTATTTATTTTTAAATACGACTTAAATGTTCTTTGTACACATGCCCAACGGTCAATGTTGTCTGCCATTTTTTTTTTTGAAATCCAAATTTATAAACTTCTAATACGATTAATTTTTTTATTTATATCACCATTCATAAATTTCATATTTGCATAAATTTAACACTATAGGTAAATTCAACGGTTATTGCGATTTTGTGATTTATTACTAAATGTCGTACCGACCTAACGAGTAATGACTATCTGTCCTTATCGATAATATAACAACGATTTTATAACGATTTTAATCTTAATGACAATCTATTTCATATTATATACTTATAATGATGGAAAATTTATGTTATAATAATATTAAATATTTTATTTATATTATATCGTATTTTGCTTTTTCGAAAGTCTTTATCGGGAACCAATTCGAATGTGTGTTGCCTGGAATATCGGAAACCAATTCGGATGCATCCATATTATAGTAGGTACATACTACATTTTTTAAATACCTTAGTTTTTATAATTACATATTCTCAGGTGTATTAATAATAATGATTATCTATAGATGAAGGATTTGACATGGTCATATCGCTTATGCATCATATAGTGATTCAGTTATCCTTGTTTGTTTGTTCGTGCCTTTAAGTATTTTACTTTTTTATTAAAATCAACATTTTAAAATTTTTTGTTAAATATTTCACATTTTTAACATAATATATTCTGGTCAAAACAATAGCACAGAGATTTAAGTATTTTTTTATTTTTTATTACATAATAATTTGTGCTTTATTAATTAACAATAATATACCTACTGTATGAAATTATATTCTTTTAGATTCTGAGCGAAGAGATGAATATATTTACTATACAATGATGCGTGTTTTTGTTTGTTTCATTATTGTTTAGGGCATTAAAATGCTTCAATTTTTAACTTTGGGGATGGTTTTTGGTAGCAAAATGAATCTAATATTGATATTTTGGAAACAATTTTCAGTATTAACTTACTTTTTTTATTTAAAAAAAAATAATCATGATCAAACGAGTTTTTGATAAAATTGATATCCTAAAATTTTAAAATATAATACGATATTATTTATATGTTGTGCAACTTTTATTAAAATAAAAATCTACTTTACTGGAAAGTCAAATTAATTTTTTATAATCGTCTTAAGTTCAAATTTCAACGTTATTGGATACTTATCGTACGATCACTATTTTTTCTCCTCAAACGATTTTTATTTTTTGGTGGTAATTCAAAAACAAATAACCACATAGGAACTTGAAATTTTCAACACGTTTATATATTATTATTTTGTATACATGGTATAATTAAAAACATTTTGACACTTTTTGAGATATTTATAAACACGAGAAATTTTTGTTTTTATAAATGTTAATAACAAAATATTCACTGGTTAAAATTCATGAAAATAATATAAAATCTTACATAAATAATTGTTCTTGTGTTTTTAAAAAAAATATTAAAAATATATAAACACGATAATTTAGTTTATAAGTATTTGAACTTCAAATTTTTAAAATATTTCTCAAAATCTTAAAAATTACAAACTACAAATATTTTATTGTATACAATTTATAAAATCTTAATTTTTAGAGCTGAGGTTTGAAAATGTAGTAATATAATATTCCTTATAAGTATTTCATATTAGAACTAAAAAAACTAAAAATATACAAACACTGTTATTTGTATAGATATCTGAAGAATTTATAATTCGAACAAAATTACATAGACATTTTAATGATGAATAATGATGTTAATTATTTTGTTATAAATCAAAAACATTATTAATCGAAATCTAAACTTTTTACATTTATTATGTTATTATGAATTTTACTATATGCAATGATATTTTTTATTTATTTTAAGGTATTATTTATTTATATTATTCTACGGTACTTACAGAAAGATAATTTTTTTTTTAGTAATATAAGTTGATATTATAATATGGTATAATAATTAAATACAAATTATATTATAAATGCTATTTATTCTCGGAATAAAATTACATTAACTTACATTAAAACTATAAGTTTAATAAATGACTCAATATATATTTCATAAAAATATACCATCAAATAAACTTAGTAATAAAGGTTGAAAGACTTTAGAATTGTTTTTTTGTAGGTAGGTAATCGATAATATATCATTGCGTTTAAATTCTCATAACAGTGACCCAGTGACCTCACTGGGTACCTAATGTACAGCAAAGCAGTACACACTTACTTACCTTTTTTATATATACTTAAATTATTTTGTAAAAAAAACTAAAAAATACAAAAATTTATTTTTGATAAATTTACCTACTGATTGTTTTTGAGAATCTTGTTTTCAATACAAACGATCGAAACTGATGAACATCTTTCTCTAACAATAGTTTGCTATAATTATTGATGGAAAGCCTTATACATTAATTCTATTGTTTTAAGCGAATGAAAACCTGTTACAATAGCAAAAGTTCCCAGTAAATAAAAAGCTTTGGAGCGGATATTTGAGTCTCGTGAGTCGTGAATCACTATACTATGGGTAAAAACACTAAAAACTGCTGGGTATTGAAAATATTATGATTTCATGAAGTGGTGAACATTGTTGAATAACTTTAATTTCAAACATATTGTCCTATATATTAGATGTGAACTTAACATTTGATAATCAAAATAGGAACTTATTCTGCTATATAATTAAACTTACTTCGTCATTGAGTAAATTTGACTCAAGTTGTAATATATGTGTTAAATTTAAATTCAATGATAAATTAATCTATACAATGTATCACGATTTTAAGTGTAAATTATCTGTCAAAATAATATATTTATAATGTTATTTTGTTTGAATAAATTATTTAATAATGTTATTTGTAGGTAGCTTATTTTTTTTTATCATATATTTATATGTATACAGTAGGTACACATATTTGCTAGAATAAAATAGCATTTATTTTGTATTAATAATTTTAATATTTCTAGCTCATATTCACTTAAAAGTGGTATAAATGACTTTAAATTATTTTAAATTTAATAAATTTTAGTTTTGAGGGTTTCAAACACACATATTTAAATTTTTTCCTAGAAAAAAATGAACTTTTTCAATTTTTTTTTTTTTTGATTTTTTAGTGTCTACGCTATTCACAAGAATAACTTTCTTATGAAGTGTTAGTGATAATTTAAAAATATTAAAACATTTTTATATTACATTGCTGATCATAAATTTATAATTAACTAGAGGAAATTTACGTATAAAATAATATTAGTTGCTTTAAACTTTGTTGTTTGTTTAGAAAAATCAGTAAGTTCCTATAATTTTTTTTTATATTTTTAAAGAAATATCACATTCAAAATTAAAGTTTTACTATTATTATTATTTTTTGTTTTCATGTATATGATAACAATAATAATAATAAAACAAATTAGTTGTCATCACTTAAAAATCAAAAGTTGATATGCGTTACCTTTAAAATAAGAGAGGAATTTAAAAATAGGGGGATGTGTAAGGGGGTGTTTATTAATATTCTAAATTTGAAAATATTTAGTAGGAAGAACAAAGAAGATTTATCACTGTTTTCTAAGTTTTAAACACTTTATGTTTATAATATTATATCTAATAATACTCGGATAACGATGATAAGATTGACTAAAAATAATTTATAATGAAATTAATTTTATTACCACTTTATTATAACATCATAAATCTATAATAATGTTTCATTGAAAAATTTAGCTTAAAAAATTATAAAAAACAAATAAAACTTAGTATTAAAACTGAATTATACGAATCTAATAATTTTTTTTCATTCATAGGTAGGTAAATTTATTTTAAAACCTCCAAAGTAATTAGTTCACGAGGCGCGTAATGTGGTAAAATTATTATTAAAGTTTTTAAGTTTTCATTTTTTTTTCACTAATTGGAAGTAACCGGTTCATAGTCGCAATTTACAGCGGTTAATAACCATTCGTCATAATTACATACCGGAGAATAGATAGGTACGTTTCGATATTTTTATTATACCTCTATTAAATAAATAGTGTATGATATTTTATGATTTCTGACTATCACTTACATAATATAATAACTATTTTTAAATCGAATCTTATAAAACTTCAACATTTTATTTGTATAAAAACTATCGAATATTTTTTTTTTTTTAAATAATTACTCTAAATAATTTCTTTTAAAATAATGATGGCTAACATTTTCTGTTATGTTTCCATATATTTTCTATTATTTATTGAATTATAGCCATTTAAAATGTTTTAAACAAGTTAGTATTACATTCTTTGAATATATTTTTTAGACAGATTTAACACGTTGACTGCCATATGACCGCCGGCGGTCATCGGGCGGCGGGTGATAACACTAAAAATGTGGTCGCCGGCTGCCACGCTACCATATTACCTATATGCCATGTGACCGCGGGCTGTCATTTTCTTATATATTTTCAATTGTACTTTGTTGTGCTGGCGCTGAAGTTATGACACGTGTGATATTATCAATGAATAGATAAGAACATTTTACATCGAAAGGTATATTTTATACCTCGATTGGATATTTTTAAGGTGTAGAAATAAATGATTAAACAACACAATTCTATTACTTAAAATTTTTTTTTTATTATTTATTATGGATACTTGAACAATTCATATACGTCAAAATTAAAAGATAAAATAAAAAAAAATAGTAAACAAAATAAAATACATGTTTTTTGAATAATAAATTGATTTATATTAATTTTTAAATATTAATTAGCATGGTGTATATTAAAACAATTTATACAGGTATAAATATTACAAGTTGTACAAAATGTTGAAACTTTTCTTACTTCTCTAGCTTTTGCGGTCCCTTCAACGTCTTTTGTACTTTGATAGCAATGAACGCATCTTTTTCGAAGTTTTCGATTCCTGTTGCACTTTTCCGTAGTTTCTTCAAAATAATGTTTTTTATTTCTTTTTGATCGTTTGTTTCCAGATGTTGATGGTTCATTCATAATAGGTTCATTCTGTTTTTCTAGTTCTAACATTTGATCAACCAATACTTCTCGAAATTGGGTAATTTTTATTTTGTTTTCGTGTATTTTATTATATACAATTAAAGCATTTACAACAGACGTTCCTAATAATATTTCTGTAGCGACTTTGTGGTACCATCGGATTGATTTTCTGACTGCCGTACTGTAACTTGAAAGTTGATCTGATAAATCAATCCCTGCTTTGCCTTTGTTATAATTAATTATAATTTCGGGTTTCACAACATTTTCGTTAATTCTATTTTTTTTACCCATATCTATCATATCAATGCCGTGTCGAGTCGACAACATAGTAACGTCTCGTTTATCTTCCCATTTACCAATAACAATTCCGTCGGCATTTTCTTTACCAACAATTTCCCCTCGTTTTAACTTAGCATCAGTTACTCCTGGTACCCTAACTCTATTAGAGCGTAGTGTTCCTGTTAAATGTGTTTTATTTTTCAAAAGTTCATACGCAAGGGGTAATGAAGTGTAAAAATTGTCTGTGGTTATTGTCCGATTAGCATTTGAATACATCTGACATAAATTCAACACAACTTTGCACGCAAGCCCTTTCCCGTCAACTTGGCTTTTACCTGCATAGATTTGCACATTATATGTGTACCCGTCTGTTCCACATAACTTAAACAATTTCACGCTATATTTGTGTGACTTTCCAGGTATATACTGCCTGAAACCCAATCTTCCACGAAAAGGGACCATAGTTTCATCAACAGCTAAATGTTCATCTGGTTCCATTACGTTTTGAAAATTGTGAATCATTTTTTCAACTAAATTGCGTACTTTATAAATTTTATCACCATCAAATTTTTCATTATCAGAAAAATGTAAAAACCGAAGAATTAATTCAAAACGATTTCGAGGCATGATTTTATGTGCCACATAATTTTTATACCTAGTACTATTACACCAATAGTCTCTTATAGCTGGCAATTGTACAAGCCCCATCCACATAATTAACCCAAAAAATTTTTGTATTTCATTTTCGTTTGTAGGTACCCATTTAGCGAATCGGCTGGATTTGGTCAATCTAGTTTTTGATAGAAATTGTTCAGCATTTCTATTAGTTTCGACCACAATTAAATCAATTATTTCATCCGTAAAGAAAAATTTAAAAATGTCCAAAGCAGAAGAATCCACGGGTATATCAATTTTTAAACCGGAATATGTGTTATTGAATAAAAATTTATTTCGATTTTTGCCTGTCACATCATTCCAAATTGCGATACCTGTAGTATTCGAATAACTTAAAGGTGAACTATCTAATGTTTCATTGTTAATAGATTCTATAGAAAAATTTAAAAAAAGTAAATTAGTTGTAAATATAAATTATACGAGCCTAAATACGTAAAAAATACTTTTAATAATTTATATCTATTATTTTTTATTATAAAATACAATTGTATTAAATATAACATTATTTTTCAACTCCCCCTTTCTCTCGTATAAGCAGATTTCAAATAAAAAAACAATACTTTTTCTTACCTTCAACATCACTTTCAACATCAGACTCGGAAGAATTTGGATTGTACGTAGCGTCTTCATCAGTGTCATTAAAATTACTAAATTCACTGGAATTACTAGAATTATCGATTTCAAGTATTTGATTTATAAGATCATCATTTAATTTAGCCCTTTTAGGACGAGAACTCATATTAAATGTCTTAAGACAATTATGTTTTACTCACAAAAAAAAATCAACTTATACATAAAACGTAGTGTGACCGCCGGTAACCACTTGGCGTATAAATAATACGAGTATTAACAGGACGCCGTGTGACCGCCGGCTCCCATTTAAACTAATGATATTATCGTATAGGTGAGGCAAAAATATGAATACTGATATTGGTTTCGTGAATTTCCAAACATTAATTCAAGAAATATCGGAAGTGACATTTTATTAATAACTCTCTAAAAAGGCTGTGGCAAACAGCGGAAGATAATCAAATGCCCGCCGGCGGGCACGTGGCGGTCAACGTGTTAAATACTGTGTGAAAGTATTGTATATTATCGGCAGACGGTAATTACTTATTAAGTTCTCTACGGTTCATGCCTCAGTTATGTATACAATTGTAGTTAATTAATATAAATATTAGTTATACATATTCACGTAATTAGAACATAATATAAAAAAAAATGTCACATCACAGTCAAACAAAATAAATATATTTTTTTGAATTTAAAATCACAAATTAAAATTACGTATGCAATACGTTTTTATCAATAATTAATAATATTTTTATAGCTGTAATTCTCACAAACATTAAAGTAAATCTATCAAAAACTCATATTTTTAAATGTAAGTATTGAAATTATTTACAAATTTATATTACCACATAAATTAAAACAACTTTAATCATTTATAATTCATTATTAAAATATTGTTCTTTTAAATTAAACATGAACGCATATAATTAGTTATATTTATAATAATATTCGTTAAAAAAAATACACAACAAGCCAAGTTTATATACGATACATGGTCTTATACGCTAAATACAATATGTATACTTATAACACAGTAATTTAATTAATTAACACGAGATCGTAGTAGGCATTTATGACATTTATTAATACAAATAGAATTTTTTTTCTTTGAGAAATTGTTCTTAAAATTAGAACGATTAACAATATGGGACTGTAAACCAATAACAGCATAATATTTTACAATTTTACTTTCAATATCCATAATGGTAACACAATAATGTTATTATAGGTATAAAGGTATAATGTAACAACATCATTGTAAACGTTAAAATATATAAAACGATACGTAATAAAATGTATTTTAATTTTATATTATTTATTAAATGATGATGGGTAAAAAATTCTATAATAAACCGATGATCTACGTTATAAAGATTATTTTATATATGATTTAAAATTTATAAATGTCAATAAAAATACAATTTCTGGGTTTGCTAATATTTACACATATAATAATTAAATAAACATTATATATGGGTTGATAAAATGTATTATAGAGATTTAAAATAATATATTTTATGATTAATAAAAATAAATCCAAATAAAATTGACAATTAACATTGGTTAAATTATACTAATTAAAAATTTAATGAATTATGTTTATTCAAAAAATTTGTCAATTTTTAATTATATATAACGCGAAGTGTCATTATCGATTCAATTAACGATAATTTTTCTCACCCAACACTAAGTAATGGTAAACAGTTACATGCAGGTAACTAGGTACTAATCTGTAGACCGTGATCTGTCTCACTCGATTTTAAGGTAGATACCTGAATATTACATAATATTACATAATTACGATTTACAGTATTATTTGAAAATAATAAACTAATTAAGAGCAATATTAGTCTGGCTTAAATTAGTGACTAGATAATTATATTTATTAATGCAAGACCTAAATCACATTGTGCCATTGTGATTGCCCACAGGTCAGCTGAAAGCATTCACTCTTCACGAACTCACAACAGTCGAAACTAGCTGCATAGAACACATTTTATACTTACAATACGTTTCGACGTGTCGTTATAATATTGCTGTTAAAGTTTAAGTATTTTTCGTTTATACATTTTTATATTGATTTAATTATTAATATTGTTATTCATATTATATATTAGAATGTAAGTAGTGAAAAACTTTTTGAAATTACTAATTTTATTCATTTTTTGGATACTAAAATCAAAATTTGATGAGGAGATAGATCAGTAAAGTACATTTTAGTAACTTTTATATCACTTTGATGATAAGCATAACAAGAATTAAAGTAATATTATTAAATTAAAGAAATGGAAATAATAATAGCCAAACAAGAAAACTAATTAGATTCATTTTGTGGTGTTGTCAAAAATAAGTTATTAATAAAATTATTCTTCTACTGGTTAAACATTTTTAATTTTAATTTTTATTATTTAGGAATTGACGGATTTCAAACGCTTATAGTTTTTTATATTATTTGATAATTTGACACGCGAGTGATTGCAGGAATATTAAAAAAAGTATATAATTTGTTTTATGCATTTCCAACTTTTTAAACGCATTAAAAAAAAATCCTTATAAATAAACAATTCATTATTTAAAACGTACTAACATACCTATGCATTATTACAAGCACTTATCTGTAATAGAAGATTTAAATTATTTTGAAAAATAAAAATAAAAAAACATTCTCTCTTCCGCGATAATTTGAATATGGTGATTTGTATGTAAAAGTTGTATTTAAAATAAGAGTAACTATCTTCTAATGTTTATAATACATTTAATACTATTTTTCAACACTACTTTTTATTTTATTCAGATGATACTTTGTGATCACAAAATTACATTAACTTTTAAACTAACCATTTTTTTTTTTTTTTTACTATAATTTATTTAAAATTTTATTAAGTAACTAAATTTATGTCATTTCATTGCAATGAATATTTATACCTACATTTATCGTTCGTGAAATATAAACAAGCTGAAAAATATTTTAATGTATAACGAATTCAATTAAATTATTTCTGCATAAAGTGTAAACGTGTCAAGTCTAAAATTGGAAAATGTAAATATCGTATTAAATGTAATAATTTATTTATATCCAAAAAGTATTTTTCACTTTGACTTGACATACAATATGTTCAGCATAGGTAATTAATTTTAAACCTTTCCATATTATTATTGTGTGCGCTTATATACCTACATAAACGTCTTTGAGTGAGTTATTAATATTTACACTTTTATAACTTATTATATTTAAGCATGTATATCGTCTGTTAAATGTATTCGGTTAGTATACTACTAGATAAAATAAAGGGCAAAGTGCGAATAAATGTGTTTGGAAGAGAATTTAATTTTATATTTTTTATCGCAATATGTTTATATATACTCTTATATTATATAATAAAATAAAATATATAATAATAATAATATTATAAACAATTTGTATTGATTCTCGTGATATTGTATAGTTAATTATTTATTGCGAGTTAATATCTTAATGTTTGATTTCATATTCATTATTCATTACCAATATAATCAAGTTTTTTGTTTTATTTCAAACTATTTTTATATTTACACACTATCATTTATAAAATGAATTCGGAAAATGTTTTATCAGAAAATCAAAAATATTATTATATTTGTTTAAAAGCAAAAGTAACGTGTTTACTTAAACCACAATTAGTTTTACTTCGTAAATAAGCTTTGTAAGAAAAATTGCAATACAACACTATAATAATGAATCATTGACTAAAACAAAAACAAACAATATTTAGCATTTGATCGAACAAAGAATCGTAAAAAGGCTACGTGTTTTCTTCCATTACTCAGTTAAATTGGAATGGGTATTTAAGTTTGACCAAATAATCAGAACGTAATTTAGTCTAAAAAAGTCATCAAGATGATTTGATACTGAGCAAAAATATTTATGTCGGCTTACTGTATTTTTTTTTAAATTTTAATTTCTACGCGTTTTATGATTAAATGAGTATACGTAAAGAATAGTTAAATAGATAAGTGTTTAATATTCGAACATTGCGATATGTTATACTCAACAGTTTATATAGTCCTAGTTTTGATTCAATTTTTACTTTCCGTTAATTATTTAATTGAATCTAGGAAATCGACTCTGCTGCTGTGTTAAAGTTTTCCGATTTTTCTGGTTCACATTGTTCGTAATATTATATAATATACAATATTTTACGTCGACATTTTATACAACAATAAAATAAGATCAATGTAACAATAACAATAATAATAATAACATGGATGGTGACGGTAATAATAATAATAATATTAAGAGTAATAATACGTCTATTGACAAATCGACTTGGTTGGGGAATGGATGTAGCATGGAAATCCATTAAAAAATTGCTCGTGGTCAGATTGGTACCGAGTGTGCTATTTTAGAGTATTATTTAATGGTGATTAAACCCTGCATCCAATATATCGTACAAATACACACATTACATAAACACATAAATATGACTAGCTGTCTACTTAAATGTACTGTATTGTTACTATATAATATGGATAAAATCTGTAAAACCTCGTTAAAACGGAATTTTATGGAACCAAAAAAAAATTTCTGTTTAATTTTATTTATTTACTTAAACATAATAAACCTATGTTTTATGAAAATAATTAAATAGTATATAGTAATAGCTAGCTGATTAAGACTTTCATAATTTAAATGGTTGTATTTACTCAAAGAAAGACCACTATAAATAATGTTTGATAGTAAAAAATATGTAGAAAATTGTTAATTGGTAAAAAATATAAAAACATTTTTTCCAAAAATCTATTATTGTTTGTTTTGTACGAGTAAAATTCAAAAAATTCAATAAATATAATAATTTATTATATTATTTAATGAAAAATATTATTGTATGAGCTCTGGCCTCTGAAATTGTAATAGTTTAAAATTAACTCAATAACAACAGTAAAAAATAATACAATGGGTTATTAGTTAGATAAGTCGTGTGAAATTGGGGTTCATCAGTGTGTATGGTATTCGACGAGATTTAAACAGGTAATTTCATTTCACTACTATAGTAAATTAACTGTACGTTTTTACCGGTTAAAAATATTTAAACACATATCGTTTTCGTGTTTCAATGTTATCTCAAAAAGAAAAAAAATTCATTTACACAGATAGATCGCCGTTTTAACGAGATTTCACTATATAATATACATAATATATATTATATCATTTAAGATATTTAAGTCATCGAAATATCATATGGTTGTATCAAAGACGATTGAACAACGTGTTTGTTTAGACTTGGTTCCTTGAATAGTGACTGTATCTGATCACGAACCGGTTGTGTGGTATGTTCGGGTTGGGCTTATGCCCGGTGCAGTAGCTGCACGTCAACCGCCAAAAAGCCATCCTGAAGTCTTGGCTGACGAACGCGTATATAAAGGGATTGATGGCCGAATTTATCCAACCTGTGTGCGTGGGGAACAAAAAAAAAAAAAAGAAGTTTAATAAAATTAAAAAAAATACAAAAATCACACAAACACACACACACACACACACACACATATACATATTACTTTATAAAAAACAGTAGTGCGGTTGGTAGGTATATATATAAGAATAGGATATACAGATATTCAGATATATTCCTATAAATTGACTATAAACTAATAATATAATATATAGAGATAAGTTACTCAAAGTACGTTAATGCCCGTAAAATGTTTAACGAGCTATCTTTAATAGATCATGCTTCTAATGAAGATAACACCGCTGAAATCTATACATTTTTTTTTCTAAAAGATAAATCTAATCCAAAAATTGTAAAATGTCTTTATTGCTATTTTTATAAGAGTAAAACTTAAATTTAGCTAATAAGTTAACGTAGGTTAAAAATCAGCGTTAAGACATTTTGTAATTTTCATAATTTTAATTGATTGCCTTGATGAAATCACTTATGTGGTTATATTAATATGAATAATATAATTTTCGTTAATATATTCACTATTCATATTTTTAATACTATTATTTGACTTTTGAAATTGCCTGGAAGAAAGAAAATCTTCTTGATCCAGGCATTTGTGGGAGAATATTTGCCACAGGTCATATTTTTACATGTGCGAATCCTATGAACATATTTTGTCATCCGTTTAGTGTAATTTGTTTACCACTTATCTATAACTAATTAATTTAACTGCTTGTAAATAATTGTACCTAGTTTTAGTTAAATATATAATATTCAGGAAACCCGTATTTTATAATATTTTAATTTTTAACGTTGAAAATTGATTATAAAATACAAATATGGTGATCGAATTTACGGCTGGGGGTATAATGATGTGATATATTACATTTTTATTGTAAATAATTTTTTTGTTTTTAGAACCTACGTGTATGGGCTTGACTGGAAAATTGAATAAACGCGAACGATCTCATAAAATATGAATAATTTGTCATAATAAGGTATAGCTTACGTTTTATATATTTATTTTATTTGTTTTAAAGTGGATATAAGTATGCGAAAATATGTAATGTAAGTCGTTAGTTTTATGTTTTTTTACCAAAAATAATTACGTTAGTTAATTAATTAGTACGTGCAGCACTAGACATTATTAAACGATTTTAATTTTTATTCTCCCTCTTCAATTATTAATTGTTTAATTTTCTACTAAAACCACTTCCTATACATACCCAATGGATTACCTACCTATTATGTATGTAAATAAACAAACTTAATAATTAAAAATGTATGCTGTGAAATATAATCATAGGATATATATAAAAAATGTATATTATATTTTGCCATATTGTTATATAAGTATCAACAGCTAGCAGGTATGAATGGTATAATAATACATATTATTTATTTCTCGTTTTGTGAAAACGCTTAAATTTAATGACATGACGTAGGCATCTAGAATTTGTTTCATTTCAGTCGAGTAACTGAAGTACACAAATTATTGTGACAGATGTTCCATATTTTTCTTTCATTTATTTTCGCAAACAAATGCCAAACTATATTAATGAATATGTACATCATCAATACATAAAATGCATTCCAAACTGAAATATCTTACAATATAATTCATTCATACCACTCACTGTTCTATAATATATAATTCAGCAATTATTAACTGCTGTTTCACCAAAATAGTCCATACTCCTACTTAATAAGCCATCTGGTAGTTAACGATAACAAAAAGGTTGAGGACCAATTGTATGTATATTTTAATCTTTAAGGCTGTAAATTTGAATGTGTTTTTGATTACTTTGTAGAAGAAAATAAATTGTATCAACATTATTTTGATTACGCTATACTAAGGCATACACAAAATTGTAATTTATTTAAGTATATTTTTAATATTTTAACAGTTTATATGCTGTCAAGATTGATAGAAATTATATTCTTCACTTGTAAAAGTTGTATTTTTCTTATTTAATAAAAGTAATTATAAATGTATAATATAGGTACTTTTGTAATTTTAAAATTTAAATTGAATGATTTTTTAGCGGATAATTATATGCTTATTTAAAAATTATTTTTGATTTTCTGTACTTAAAATTCATATCTTGCTTGTACGCACCTACTGATTATTTATTTATTTTTTAATGACGTCTCAAAAAGTTTAAATAAAAATTATGAGTAAAGTAAATATATACATATATATACTTATACGAATGGATTTGACAAGGATTATTGTCAGTTTTGTGTTTAATTAATAACGGTTATATAGAAGATATTAAACTAAAATACGTTCATATGGTTATTATATGATTCAAACAACACCTGGTTTTACTCCAATACTCTGTTTTATTTACTTTACCTGGAAATATACATTGAACTATAATATGAATAGTCTGTGGTTGATATAATGTTATACATGCTGGAGCCTATATTATATCCACTGAAATTCAGATTTGAATATTTTCTGGGTGGCTTTCGAATTCACATCATTTTTATTACATTTTCATAAAAGTACTTATATTAAACTTTAGATATGTAGTATAGTTGGAACATCGATTTTGAATCAAATAGTGATTACTCAGTGGAAGATACCAATATTTGTTTCGTTCTTTTTTTGTTTTTTAGTACATTTAAATCTTTATATATTACTTTATATATTCAATATTCATGTATTTAGGTTGTTTTTCGTCGGCCATGACCACTTAAATAAAGTATTGGTACCTCTGTTGTTGACGTTCTAGAAACGAATACAAATCGAAGGAATGAAGTGCGTGTAAATGATAAAATCGTTTAAATAAATAATATAATATATAGATTTGTAGGAAAATCAATAATTCTATTTTGTGTAAATCGTTCACAGATGTAACTTAAAGAATATATATTGTAAAACAATATCATTTTTATTTTTACTGGGAGGAAAGAACTCAGATAATTGTGTATGCTGATGTTTATTTACCTACGTGCGTTATTTTTTCCCGAGAATAAATCTATCGCGTGAAATTTGTGAGAAAAAAATAAACTATATTAATATAAACAAGATAAATAGGTATATGTTTCTCGTCAAAAAATATAAAACGCTTTGTTCAAAAAAAAAATATACGTACATAATAATATATAAATTATATTATATCACACGGCCGACGAGCGTGAACGATGATGGAATGTGAAACACATATTTTAGTTGCTACAGTAGTTTTTGGGCCTCTTATAAAAGCCAAAAAGACAAACACACTTTATTTCGTGAAACATGATGGCATTTGTACAATATCCGTGAAGAATACGAAACAAAAACGGAATGAATACATTGTTTTGTCTGGCAAAAAATGAATCAGACAGGTATATATTATTTTATGTACAATATATTTAATAATTATCTAAATTATTCAAGTTTCGATGTCAGTTTTAATAGAAAATATTAATAACACTAAAAAAATAATTCGGATTTAATGGCAATGCACTAGAATTAATTGTTTTACATAACTTTGAACGCAACTCTTCCGCGGTAAACGAATTTGTCGCACAATAACTGAAATTTCATAGCTCACGATATAACCGTACAATAGTTGCATATATAATACTATTTTAAATACTGCTATCACTTTTATCATTAAAAGTCCCATTAATATTATGGTGTTGGCAGATATTTATGAATCCTAAAAAAAAAAATAAAAATTTAAATTAATGGATAAAATGAGGATGCTTAGTTATTTACTCTATACTATAGGTATCATTAAATTTAGACAACAACTAAAAATAATGTTATTTTTAATTTATTTGTTTTTATTTTTTTGACTTATAATACGTATCCAATCTAAAAGTAGGCTAATAAGTTATTAATAATTTTTGTAGACATTAACCTTCATAGATAATAGGAAATAGATCTGGAAAATTGGATATGTATGTGAATAAAAAAATTGTCTACATTTTATTTGCTTTTATGAAAAGTAATATTTTTAGGATACATGACTATTATAATAACAATATATAATCTGTAATTGTTTTTGTAACAGGGATGTTTAAACTTTATATTATTATAATATAACAGAGGTAAAAAAGGAGATAGCTTGATATGGATATTATTATTACACACAGTTTTGAGATAGGAACGTTTGAAATTCATATTGCTTCCGCCGGTTGTTCATCTCTTTGTTGTTTATATCTAACGCGAATATAGATACGTATTTAGCGTAATTAGCGCGTTTCACGAATCATGAGTGCATGCATACATATATGTATAGATATTATTATTCAAAATTGTGGTTTTCGAGATAATATGTACGCAGTTAATTTACGACGACCTTTATTATTGTTCGAAAAAGAAGATAATATTATTTCTATACTGGAATTTTGTAACTGATGCCACGAGTGTATAAAAATATTATAGTTTAACATAGATAATAATTTAATAACTTTAATTACTTCACTATGATAATTTTCAATGATTGATCGAAATATTAATTATTCTTCGGAAAAGATTGATAACTGTCTTACGTTATTTTTTATGCGATAAAGGTGATAAGTTTGTCATATGAGAGGAGAGGAGAGTGTGACAACTTACTTACTAACTTAAATTACAAATAATAAATTGTCTTCACGTGTAATGCAATGAAGTAAAACCATTTTTTTTTCAACAGAAAACATAAAAATAAAAATATATAAAAAATATTATCAAGAGATCTAAAAGTGGTGATTTATTATATATTTTATTATTGATTAATAATTCTGTATAATGTATAACGTGTATTAAATAGAAAGAATTTTTACGAGTTGTCAATATTTAAATTAAATTTTGATTGGAACCACGTCCAAGTCATTAAGAAAATGTCGTGAGTTCATTAAATAATATTTAGTTTTTAAATTCAATAAGCTTCTGTTATTATTTACTAATAATAGGTAATATTGCAGTTTTTAAATTCCACGCATATTTTTTAAGAAATTATTTTATGATTTTGATTACACAAAAAAAAAAAAAAAAATTGTAAGGAATAAATAATATCAGTTTGTAACTTATAAACTATAATATAAGTCATAATATATATAGTTATTAAAAATATGTTGCATAAAATGGCGTGAGCTGTTTATTTAGTACCTACTATAATAACTTACTAGAATGACGTTCAGAAATATACAATTTTAAACTTAAAATCAATACTATTGTTTGATCGACTGTAAAATAATGGCTAACTTCATCGGAACATTAATTACATTACGTCATGTACTCATGTGAGCAATGAACTATTAGCTAAAAGCTGTTTAAATTAAAACTAAATGTGATTTTAATTTTATATTTTATTAGAATTATTATTATTTGTTTTTCTTTAAAATATACCTATAATAGTATCTTAAACATATGGCTTATGATAACTATTACAGTAATATTGCTCATATATTTATACATAGCTGCATTATTTACCTATGACCTAATAATATTTAAAAATATTTAATGGCTACTTTATCTTCCAATTAATGTATCCAGATTGCCTACACAATACGCCGTTTGACTTTCATGTTAGGCTTATTAAAACAGGACATTGAAATATTTTGCCACTTCAATTATATTCTGTTCAATGATTTCTATTCGTTGTCATACTGGTGTTTTAAGTGGAATTTATCCTTTTTAAGATCATTTCACAATGTCCATTCACCTTGCGCCATATTATAGCTGGTAATATAATATTTGTATTCAGTATAGGTATTTAGATATATTTAAAATAAAAATAACATTAACAGTATTAAAAATCAATAAAAATCTATAGTAAAATAAATTAAGATTTAATCAAAAAATTAAATTATTGGTAAAATTCTAACAGACAAAATTACTATAAATTAAATTTTTTAGTACAAAAGTACAAATGCTAAAGTAATAATTTAAAAATTTCACGAAATGGATTTATTTTATAATCGTAAAAAACCAATCATGTAAGAATATAATGGAATAATAAATTGTAATAGGTTCATAATTTTTATTGCTTATGGAATATATTCGCTATGTTGGTATATCAGTTATCACTGGCCTTCATTCTTCACGCAAGGTCTTATGTAGAATTTTGGAACCGGTAGCATTTATAAAATTCCATACTTATTTTAGGGCCCAGTGTTAAACAAAGATATACAATACAATTATATAACCTTAATTATATTTTATGAAAATTGTAAATAATAGTAATGCAACGGTACTATTCATATTATGATGTGTTTATTCTTACAACATTTTCAACAAAAATGATAAATACACATCCTATACACACCTGTCTATTTATGAGATAAATATTCACTAGTTTTAGAGAATAAAAAGATACACGATACGCTCGTTAGTGTAACACCCGTTTAATGTTAATAAAACTATAGAACAATGGAATACCTACAGTATAAATTAAGTAGAATAAAATGCTCAGAATAAAATAAAATAATTTTATTGTATCATACATAGTATTTTTATGATGACGTTCTATTATAATTTGTAACAAAACAAGTTACATATACGCTAGTTGCGAACTGTGTTTTGTATATTGCAATAATCAGGATTTCAAAATATTATTCATACACAAATACATTTGGAAGAATAACCCAAGTACACTTAAGAAATTAAAATCTTTACATTGTGAGATTGTGTATCATCCTTAAATGTAAGCCTACTCTTAAATTTAGGTTTGGCCCATGGTTATTGATGTGATTTTTTTGTATAAATTAAAACTGTGTTATTTAGGAGATACTATATTATATATTATGTAGTTACAAAATCATTAAACATCCTAGCACATTTCCAATAGTAAATTTTTATAGGGCGACGACGAACTTTAAAGAACAAAATTAATGGTATAAAACGTGAAGATGAATAAAGTTTTACCTAAATGTAAAATCGTTAATTTATAACATTATTATTTAAATTTCACTTTTTATAAATTCATGGAAATTATACTTATATAGATTTTTTGTAAGTTTGTTATGACATTACGCCTTACAGTATTATTTTATACATTTATTTGTCTTAAACTTGATGTATTATTGTCAATTCAAGATGTTGTTCTTTTTTCGAATGTCTATCATTAAAATCAAAAGAAAACCAGTTAATTCTAGAATTTTTTATTTTCCCACTTTTTCAGTAAATGTTATCTATAATACATAAACTAGGACAAGCAATGACATTTATTGTACTAAACAATTTAATGAAATTTAGAAACATCTGCCGTTTAATTTATTGAAATATTTGGAGAATTTGAATATCTAAAATTTAATTCGTGCAAGCTTAAAATTCCATAAGGAAATCAATAAATAATAACCATAGAAAAACTATACTAAGAATTGCTCTAAAAATACATCTTATCTTGTTTCCAATTTCCAAAATGCATTAGTTAAATAGTACTTAATTGAAAACCATGTTTACCACATTAAAATATTATATTTTATTGAAAACAGAATATTTTGTACAGAAGATAGAAGAGTTGTTTAAATATAAAAATAGCTCATTTAAAAATCATGGAAAAATGAACTAAATATTCATATAATTACAACTTTTTGATAAATAAAAACAAATTAAAAATGTATATTTATGAGAGATTAAAAAGATACTGGTGTTTTAATGATAATAATCTGGAGGTATTTTTCATGACAATAATAGAATAATATGATAAAATTACAATCGTTTTACAAGATGATTAAACAGATTATTTATGCATGTATATCGTTTATGCGTATAATCACAATAATCAGATAAGTTAAAAATAATATTAATTGAACTCGACGACAGAAAAAAAAATTAGTATAAAACTAATAACTACGTGCGCGCAACGTCACAAACGGTCTTTATGTGTCCATATATCGTTGCTACTTAATACTACGTGTTTTCATTATTATAGTAGTGTATATTCTTGTTATGTATGTTGAATGATAACATACTAACTGTTTCGACACGGCAGAAAAATAACCATCGATATCGACATTAAAATCGAAAAAATAAAACATAAAAATATGATACTTTTATATTATCCATGCATCTGTATAGGTACACCATATATATATTAAGAACTGAAATAAAGTCGTTAATGATTAAGTAAAATACTCTTCCCTTACTAGGAATGTCTTTCTTTTTGAAAATGTATTACTAAAAAACAACTTTTTAACTGTAATTTTAAGAAAAAATTAAAAGCGCAACTCTCTTTGAAAACAATCTAGTGTGGTTAGCTGGTATGTTCCTTATAGAAGTTGTTATTAAAAGTAAGGAGCATAATGATTCTAAATATAACATTTTAAAATATAATTTTTTTTGAGAAATTCTGTTTTTTACCTAATAACTGCTCAAGGTCTAGAAAAGGGCTGAAACGAAAAAAAAATCTTATATTTATCGCACGGGGCAACTATTATATCAATACAGCACTGATTCCACGACCGACTCTGCTGTATAGCGTTAACCAACCATCGTAGGTCATGACCGCAACAATCTGTCAATAAATTGTATAATACTCACCTAGCCACGTGAGCCACTTCTTCATGTCTTCCGATATGGCCGTTGCCGGCAAAAACGGTGTAATCAGGTACACGATAAAGAACAATAACCAGCAGGCGATGAATCCGCCGACCACTATGGACAGCGTCTGCGCCGTTTTATTCTCACGCTTCAGCGAAACCCGACAATCGTCACCTCTGCGCAAACTGACATTATAGCTACAATTGTCAGGTAAAATTAACGAAATGCAATACAAAAATATGATAATAGTATAATACTAAATGTAATAATGCAGTTGATATATAATATTAATTAAGACATACAGACGATCGCTTGATCGCGTTATATTTACCTAACGCGAACGATTTCGTCCATTTCTACCGATGGTCTTTCCATTGATTCGTGGCTGTAACGGGATATCTGAAATAACCAACGAAAATAAGTTTCATAAAACAAGTTTGAACTTATTAAATATGTGTTTTTATATCGTATAATGATTACAGTAAACACAATAAAAATATGTATTTAAATAATAAAAATATCGCCTACAACATTATAATATTATGCATCGTGGCGTGGTGCACTCGTAATAATCACACATTACCTATTAAAAAATATTTTGGAAACGATAATGTTTTAAAAATATTTCAAAAACATTTTAAAAACGTATATATGAGGGTATTTTTAAAACGTTTCGAAAATATTTCAAAATTATTATTTCCCAAAAATACTATCTGATATTTAACTTAACCGTCCTAATCAATATTTTTCTCTACAGTAATAAAATGTAATTAATATATAATATAATATATATTGAAGTTTGATGATGCACAAAGTGTACATATCTGTTATAAGCTGTTATAAGTATAGACCTGAGAGTCCAGTTTATATGGTAATAAAAAAATCATAAATAATTATATTTACACATTATTTATAGTTTAATAAAGTTTGATGGTATTATTAGTGGTGCGTAAGCAGTAGCTGCAATTCATAATATGTATTTTTCGATCGTTACCGGGTAATTACATAAGATAAAGCATATAGCATATAATAAATATCATAATTAGATCAGGATGTTATTAAAAACTGATTTTGAGCACAACATAATACGTATACCAAACTTTTATCGTTGAAGTAACTATTTATTCCTAGATGAAAATGACTTTAATTAGTTATACTTAACTTCACAATTACATTGTAAGAGTTTGTCAGATGTATTCATTAAATTTTGTTATCTTTGTTTTACACACGAATGACGAAACAAAAATACACTCACAGCGTTTTTTGTGGATTCATTAATAATGTCTAAGTACTTTTTGGGCTAAAAACTTAAAACAAATAATATAAGTTTATATAACAATATATCAATTGATGGGACATAATTTGTGTAGCTTTAAAGGGTTTTAGTGCTTTGTAAGTATTTAGTATCAAAAAAGTTTCAAACTTAACGATTAAAATATTGAGATAAATTGGATTTTCTAATTTGAAACATATAAAATTAAGTAGGCAAAAACGTATTGAAAATCAATGAGCAATTGATTAGACAGATATATATATATATATTTAATGATCAATCAAAAGATTGAAAAATCTTAACGAACGTAATGTTAATTTACTACCTTTAATATTACGAATTATGTTATATAAAAAAGTAAAAACAAATATAAATAATAATATTATGGTGTTAAATATAATAATGTTATGCTTAGTGGACGTCAAGGAAAAAAAATATACATAATTTTCTTTATAAGATATTTAGGTTATTTTGTAGGTAGTAAATAATGATAATATTATTACATCTTTATGGAGTTAAACTAAGGTTAATGTGCATATGTAAAATTATTTTCACTTAAACAATAAATAAATTGCATAAAATAATAATTTTCTGATTTACGTTCACTATAAATTATATCACTTTTATAATAATATCCACAGATAATGTGATTATTATAAACATATTTAACAATATATTTTTTGCTGTCAAAATTTTTTAAAAAGTGCAATGTTTTGTTTTTAAAGTAATATCTGGTTATTAATGTTATTACCAGAATAATATATGTTATGCTATAAAGAAGGTTTGCATACTGTGCATGATAATATTTATAATTTTTTTATAAAAACAATTAATTTTATACGTGTAAATTATATATAACGAAATTGTTCTAATAAAATTATAATACTTAGATTGAATTAAAATTTAGAATATATTAAAATTGTTCATGCAACAGTTATTGAATTTCAAATAGTTTACTTAACCTTGAAATCTCTGATTGTAATTAGTGGTCATCGAAAAATATTATATTAAAAATAAAATCTCAACCTAATAAAACTATTTTTAATATTAAAACCACAATTTTATTTTATTAATGATTTACAGGTATTACATAAACTTATGATAAATCAATAAAATAATAAAATGTCCATATTATTTAACAATATTTTTTATCAAATTACTCGATGAGAACCATTATCAAATTGAATTTAAATTGATGTAATTCTTTTCAACGAATTTCTCTGCAATAGATTCCAATTTCAAATTCTGAGCGGAATGAATGAGTGATGAATTGTGTTTTTTTTCCTAAAGACATTTTATAACAACAACAACAACAACAATAATAATAATAATAATAATAATAAAAAATCTTAAATTTTTAACTTCAATAGTTTTTCTGATAGGAAAGTGAATCTTGCTAGCACTTGTAATACTTGGGGAGGGAGAGGATATGATCAAGTGGTATCCGTTTTGCTGTATATTAGGTGTTGAGTGCTTCACTGTAATGGATGTATTAAATTTGCATTCAATTATATAACATTATATCATATGAACAATGATTCTAAGAAGAGACTTTCTATCAGTCTATATAACTAAGTATACATTAGTATATTTTATTATGTTGTTGTTATAAGTTAATTTATTTTACTTTAAGTAATATAGTAGGCTGAATAAATTTTCACCAAAAACATTAAATGTATTATATTATTTATAGTTAAACATAAATCATTTAATAAATACTGAAATGACGTAGTATTGAAACAACATTTAATAGCAATAATAAATGTTATAGGTACAAATATACTATTAGAGTAGTTGGATATTAATACCTAATAAAGTAAATACTAAGCATAATATTTTCGAAAAAAATTAAATTAATCTACTATATTACTAATAGTAATATATATTAATAATTTAATTTTAAATATCCAAAGTTCTATACAGAATTATTTTAAATAAATTATTAAATTCTAAAATAGCACATTCATTACTAAAACCCATTTAATATAAATATATAGGTAGATACAGCAGATCAGTATCAACTTGCCCACTTTTTTATTTTGTTGTTCTCAAGGCCCTATAACGGGGAATTTTAACTTTATAATAATAATACTAAACACTCAAGGAATAAGTTGAAATTTAGTTATTAAATATGTTCGATTCTTTAGTACATACGTATATGAAAGAAGTTTTGACTTTTGAAGCATTGCAGTCTATTGGTGTAATGATGTATCAATTCAATATATGATAAAGTTTATTATTAAAGTGAATAATGTATAATATTATAAACTATAAGTTCACAAGTATACACAAAAATAAACATTATTTCATTCATAGTATTCCAAAGATTTTAAAATTAAAAAGATTCAATCGGGAATATATAATATCAAACTACAAAATGAATATTTTAAGACACATTTTTTGATTTTTTTTTTTTAAGATCAAATATTATTTTTTTAACCAATATCATATTGATACAACATATACTATCGCCTATAGTAGAATTATCAGTTATATGCAGTAATATATGTTATATTTATTTTTTAATTTTTATTAATTGAGATTTAATTTAATAATTTATAATTTAATAACGCACGTAAACAGTATTATAAAATATTTATAATATAATCATAACGTGAAATATTGTCTGAAATTTTCGAAAGTAAAAATAATTAATCCTTTATATGTAAAATATATTATTGAGTGTTTAATTATTTATTATTATTATAATTATTATGTTTTTTGAAAATAATAATTGCGTTAGTGGAGATAATTTTATTGACGTAATGTTTTTGAGTTGTTTTTTTTTATTTCAGATAAAAGCGTTTGCTTAAGCTAGCAGCATTAAATTATATTACAACACAAAGTATAATATAGGTTAATATGATATCAAATACTTAAGCATGTTTAATGTTTAATACTAATATAGGCTGGAAATTTATGAACACAGTAAAGTTTGAAATCTGTTTTTATCAAGATTTTTTAAATTATAGTGTTTGTTTTAGTTGTAAAATTGTATGTATAAAAATTTAGTGGAGTTATACGTAGGTATACTTGAAACACCAAAAGTGACCTGATACGATTCTATTTTAAGTGTTAAATGTGTTTTTGTTTTTTACCCACATTATGAAATTAATACAATTGATGCATATAATACATTATTTTATCATTAAACAGGAAACTATCCATAACATCAAAAATAACTTTGAAAACGAAGGATGTTAAATGTAAACGTATTTAATAATGGTATAATACATGACTTACTTGTATACTTATTTCAAGTTTGAATAATTTTATATTACAACGATGATAAAAAATGAATAAGAGGAAACTGTTATATATTTATTATTGAAATACTATTAACAAATATGAAAGAGTATTATAATTAATTATTATTGTTGTTGTTATCATAAATTATAATTTATAATAGGAGCGATATTCTTTCATTAATTGCTGCATTAGTTGTAGCAAATACATGTCACAATTTATTATCGCTATATATAATAAAATTATAATATTATATACAATAAAAATTGAAAGTCGTTATATTTTAATCAACTCATTCACTGTCACAACAACTTCCTTGTGTTATAATCGTAGACTTCATTCTGATAATGATACATATTATGTTAGGTGCATTAGAACTTTGACATAAATACCGTATTCCGTTTTATAGTTTCCGGATTGTCATTAAATTACAGATAGTGGTTATGAACTATTACGTCGTGTCTTCTAAAGTATATGCCAAATCGCTTTGTTGCGGTTCAGTCGTTTACAATCATTATTATTATTGAATACCATTGATTGAGAGATTCATAAAATTTTATCAAAAATTACACCATGCGATTTAGTCTATCTATCCAGGAAAAAAAAGACTATATTATAGAACATTGAATATTTAATGAATTGAAAAAGGAACATTTAATTAGAATTTAGAATATAGTAGATATTTTTTATGGAGACAACATCTATTTCAATTGTTTTGGGGTAAAAGTTAATTTAACTAAATATAAGAAATAATATAAGACAAAAAGTTATGTTTTAATAATAAAACGATGTCACGCATACTAGTATATATTAAACTCTTCTAATTCTGATGAATAGTTCGGCTAAGTTTTTGAGAACATATTAAGCAACAAAAAAATAA